GTATAATGTCAGTATTGTAGTGACGTTGGTATTGTTTAATATTAGGTATAATGTCAGTATTGTAGTGACGTTGGTATTGTTTAATATTAGGTATAATGTCAGCATTGTAGTGACGTTGGTATTGTTTAATATTAGGTATAATGTCAGTATTGTAGTGACGTTGGTATTGTGAAATATTAGGTATAATGTCAGTATTGTAGTGACGTTGGTATTGTGTAATATTAGGTATAATGTCAGTATTGTAGTGACGTTGGTATTGTGTAATATTAGGTATAATGTCAGTATTGTAGTGACGTTGGTATTGCTTAATATTAGGTATAATGTCAGTATTGTAGTGACGTTGGTATTGCTTAATATTAGGTATAATGTCAGTATTGTAGTGACGTTGGTATTGTGTAATATTAGGTATGATGTCAGTATTGTAGTGACGTTGGTATTGTGTAATATTAGGTATGATGTCAGTATTGTAGTGACGTTGGTATTGAGTAATATTAGGTATGATGTCAGTATTGTAGTGACGTTGGTATTGTGTAATATTAGGTATGATGTCAGTATTGTAGTGACGTTGGTATTGTGTAATATTAGGTATAATGTCAGTATTGTAGTGACGTTGGTATTGTGTAATATTAGGTATAATGTCAGTATTGTACTGACGTTGGTATTGTGTAATATTAGGTATAATGTCAGTATTGTAGTGACGTTGGTATTGCTTAATATTAGGTATAATGTCAGTATTGTAGTGACGTTGGTATTGTGTAATATTAGGTATAATGTCAGTATTGTAGTGACGTTGGTATTGTTTAATATTAGGTATAATGTCAGTATTGTAGTGACGTTGGTATTGTTTAATATTAGGTATAATGTCAGCATTGTAGTGACGTTGGTATTGTTTAATATTAGGTATAATGTCAGTATTGTAGTGACGTTGGTATTGTGTAATATTAGGTATAATGTCAGTATTGTGTTAACCCTGGATAAACGTCAAAACATCCTCGATACTCCATAAGTTACGATCACTTTTGCTCAATACACAGACCAAACATCTGCACAGAGTGAATGTGATTTTAACCCTGGAGTATCGAGGTGACGTTAAATCTGAATGTAAATCTATTGATGCGCGTTTGTGTTTTAGTATTTTTATTCAAACTATAATCGTTTCTCCTCTTCATCATGACTCATAGTCACGTTGTAATTCGTTAATATTATTCATCTAGATATTTTTTCAATTTTTCATAAAACCGGTTTCGTCTTTACGACACGTCTGCTGGATGCTTTTCTGCATTGTAATGTATCCTGTTAGAGACATTTTAAACCTCACGATTATCTACATGAATGGCATTGTGTACAATGCTTTAATTTGAAGTAAACATGTACACAACCTACAAATGACACCTAAGATGACGTTTGTAGTCACTGGTGTTTGTTCTTTTCTGATAGCGCGTGGTCGACCTTTGGTCTACGAGGTTTGGTTTGAATTCGATTGAATGATGCAACGTTCTGAATAAATATTTGTATTCTACAGTTGTATAAAATCACTCATTGGGGTTATACTCGTACCTGTCTAAAATTTCACATGAATTTTGTATAGACCGATTTTGAGACTCTGTCGACGTCTAGGTATATATATCAACCAAAAGGTGTTTCCGATGATCGCGTCTGTTCATTACTGAAGCATGAGTTTAAGTAAACATTCATTGTTATTGATTATAAATAATATCCTATAAATATAGATATATATTGCGTTGTGGCTACTGAGTGTACTGTTTACAACTTCATGTACATGCAAGTGCTATAAAATGCAAATGGCGGAATCCATGCCTCAACGAAAGAATGATTGTATACTTTATATCGTTTGATGTTACCTCACACAATGACATTCACTCAATGCACATTATAACGAACTGATTGGCGTCCTTTACACGTGTAGGTCGGAAGGTGTCGTGATTCTGAAAAACAGGTTGACAAAACACTTGGCGGAGCACATTTTGTAATGACAAATGTGATTTCCACGAACAATCAACTGGAGTTGATTAAATCAAACTATATTTATTAATCTACCTCTTATGATACACATTAACGCGATTCTAATGATAAACATGGTTATACATCTGCTATAAGAATTCTACACCTGGAGATACCCACAAATTTATCTAGATACATTTTCATAAATCGGTGAGTTCCCCTAAACGAAATTTCGACAAGTGATAATGGAAAGACCTAGAAATTATAACTTAATGTTGAAAATATCTTTCATAAATAGTCCTTACGGTATAAATAACTCACATAAATGTATAAAACGTTACAGCATGAACGCTAAATACACTGGAATACACAGAGAAAACACATCCAAGTCGAAAATAATTATAGGATGCTGTAGTGCATCTTAAAAAAAGGGCAAAGATACCGAATCTTGGTCGAGGAAATCGAACAATTTGATTACTGCATTCCGTTGTTGAAATTATGTGCCTTTGAGATCCTCAGCTGCTGCCAAACGCTCAGCCAGTGAAACATTTTCTTTTGCTGAACAGGAAGCAATTCTGCGAATGTTGTATCCGTGTTTAAGGCAGATATTGGATTATGTTCAAAATCACATAGACCACTGAACATTGATTGAGGTTCTAGGAATATAGGCATTATCAAAAACATTTAGCTTTTATAAAGGCTAAAAATATTGTTGAACTTTTTCCCTTCGTTGTAATATGAATATCAATAATTTTATTGGCTGCATACAAAAGGAATTAGGATTGATAGATAAAGAAGAAAACCCTACCTTTACTTTATCCGATATATTCAAATAAAAGAGGTTAGCCGTAACCTGCACGCCACGTTTAAATTCAATCGAATTGTGGCACGGTTCAGAATATACACATGTATTTGACGTTGTTCCAAAATTATCTGATATATAAAAATACAAATTTACAGATTTTCCCCGTGCTTTTCACTTGTATGTCTTTTGTACAATTTTCTAGATAGTAGCATCCCTACTTCCCCAACCTATGGTGTTTACAATATTCGATATTGTTCTCAATATCACGGTGATCGTGTTATATATCAGAAAGTTTCAACAGATACAGGCTGATAAAATCATGGGATTAACATTGTCGTCATTATGTTCGTTATTATGCTTGGTGGGTCTGTTGTTGTTCACCTTGTCATTTAATTGAGAACATGACATTATTACTCACATTGATCAGATTTTACATGTATCTGTGTGATGTCATGATTTCTCCTGTTTTATGGAGTTAAAATTTGAATAAACAGAAGACGCTATCAAGATTAGACACATATATCCTGTTTTTGTATTCTAAGCCTTTTTAACATGTGTACTTGTGACTTTTCATGCTGTGTCAGGTGCATGTATTGATTGATCAATGCCGATGACCGAAGTTAATCGAGAGCTTAAGTATTTGGTTAAAAAAAATAAAAACGGCCGAATTCATGTCCCCGTCCAATACTTCAAATATAAGCGTGTACACAGAGTTTCTGTTATTCCTGTTACCCCAATGTTTGCAACTCACCAAAAGTAGGTTGTGTACACCTGGAATTTGTCTTATATCTGAAGCAACTATGTACCAAATATCTGTTTAATATACCACCCAACTCTGAGAAAATCAGCCGAAGCTGATAGTTTTCAAGTTCAGGACAATACTTCTGGAAATAATAAGCTGCGAGGAAACTTTGACCGGTATCTGAAACATCTGTACATTAAATATCAGTCCAATATTTCAACAGCCAAAGAAATTAGAGGGTCCAAATTCCGACATAAGTATGGGCAACGCAAAGCATACATATACCCATCGGTCTACATCGGGGGAAATTAGGTTTCCCAGAGAAGTTTAGTTTTATTTGTAATGTGTAGTGATTTCTTGGTTTGAATTTCTAGGTTGTGCGGGTATCAGTTGATTATATTCGTTTTAACATGTAATAAGCGCCAGAACACACTGTAAGTAAGTTTGCCTTTCTTCGCCATTATTTCTGTATTTCCCAACGCGTTTAACTTTCATGATGTACTGTTATGCCTAATGGCTAATTCATACCGTTTCTACTGCATTATCCAGTACAATATAGTTCCTCAGTCGGTATTTAATACTTATCAGCGATATTTTGTACATAAGGTATAATATAATGTAACAAAAAATAGTTAAAAGTACGAAAAAATCCTTCATTTTTCATTCCGCCATTTGCATTTCCGGACACTCCGTGTTGAAATGTGTCCTGACTACTAAACGACTGACATGGGTTCAAAATGATCAAAATTGTTTTTATCAACGGCAATATGATGAAAACGAATGTTTGCAAATATACATGGACTGAGTATTGTTTCTGTTGCACTTACGGTGGTATGAACGAAATGGAATGCAGACATATTTCTAATTTATTGTGACGCACACTGTCCTGTTACAGATGCAACGACAGCAAATTAACGTATGTTGTATCCTGCTGGGATGGAATTCGTTTCGTCAATTGTTTTCACTGAATGGGATTTGTATCGCCAATATTGGTACACAGTTTAGAGGCAAATTATTCTTTCAACCGGAGTTTTTTTTTTTTTTTTAAATCGTCAGAAAAGTAACCTGTGATTTATGGCCACAACAATACTTTAGCAATACGGTTTTCATGTTTTAATTGTTTAACAAGTTGAAGATAAACATTGTGTAACGATGATATACCGTTTTCACAAAGTATAAAAATAACAAAACTAGGTGACTGGTGTAAGTTATAAAACAAATCGATACAATGTATTTGTCCGACATAAATATTATTAGTTATTACCCGAATATGACTGTTGATTAATAACTTGTACATGTAACACTGAGTCGTTCATACGATCGATCATGGTGGCTGGCAACAGAACAAATTTATGCAATTTCCCACACACAAGCTCCGCGTGTGTGACAGTTTGGTTTATGATATTCGCCTAACGGTATGTGTGTGCACAGTTCTCACACAGCGTAGTACACATATAGCTATACACACTACTGCAAGGCGATAGTAACTGTGATAGGGACCATTCACAAGCTAGTGCTGATGAATTACCAGACCACGTGGGCACAGACACGGGTACAAAGTACCCTGCAGTCACTGTAATCTGATTACTACTGGACTCTGCCACCGTGATAGTCACTGGACAGTCATACGACGTCCCTGCTGTCTAGCCAGTGCTTGTCTTGATTTTAACATTTTATTTCTGTACACAAGACATTCACGAAGGACCATTACGTAAGGAATAGACGACACCCAATAATGGCAGATGCAGCTCTTGACGAAGTGGTGCAGACTATTGGGGGTGTATGGGTACTTGTCAGAAATGAAAACCTGGATGAATACTTGAAAGAAATCGGTAAGACCACGGTAATATATGGGATTATGTATTTTTAATAGACAATGTTGATTTAATTGATTTTGACCATTTTGAATGCCAATGCGAGCTGTGTCTTTGGTGTCAATCGGCATATGTCTGATATTGTAGATCGATACACTAATAATCTTGTCCAGTTATGATTCAGTGCTGATCATTTTAATATAAACGCGTCGGAGCTCCGTACAATAATTCTTTTATTAAAGGGCGGTATTTAACTATGTAACCTAATGCACACCTGTGTACTCATCAAGTTACCATTCACGTGTTATTTTAGATCTTGTACCGACGTGAATAGAATCTGATGATTATATTTTTCGCATTTCTTAACCGTATACGTAATAACACAACGAATCATTGCGATGGTCACATTACACCGGCTTGAGTGACATCATAATAACATATAAACTCCCGGCGAACTTTCATCCTGTTTGATACACAAAAACACTGATGGAAACATTTAATTCTAGTTTCTGTTAGTTTAATACCGAAACGTGCGTCAGTGTGATTAAGAGAATACAATCGATCTCTTCAATAGAGGCCAGTTTAGGGAGCATAGAAAAGTGGCATTTCTACGCAAGTTGTTGTTATAAAGAGAGGCACATCTCACCAGCATGTCTTGGTGAGCATAGGATTCCTAAAGCATTCTTGATTCGATGATGATAGATGTGGAAGTTGAGTATTTTATCACATAAAATGTCTGTTGTCAAGCGAATTCGCCCTCATCCCTTCTGGGATTCCTCCTTGAGACTCGGTTTATATCGGACGTTTGACAGTGTCTCTTGAATTCGCCCATGTATTTTTTTTCGTATATTACCACAACAGTTTGGAGCGTTTATTATGATACAATATGAGCAGTGACGTTTCACTGCGTATTGTCCTTTGCATTTGGACTTAAAACCTGTCAAAATGTTGTTCTTTTAGATATATGACAGAAAGTTTTTTTTTTCATTTCATATGAGACTGTATGAAATTCGACTCGAAGTTATAAGTTTTGGTCGCCGCGACTCGCAAAAAGAAATTATCTCCGACTCGTTTCATAAAATATCATTTGAAAGGAAAACTCATAATTTTTAATAGGTCCTATATATATTTTCCCTGTATGCGTTTCAATGTGTTTGTCTTTTGAAAAACAAAACAACAACTAAACCATAACAGAAGACGGTTACCTTTATACCACTTTGCAATTCAAACGAGGGGTTGAGAAGACCATTAGGAATAATTATCATCAATAGAAAATGACAGTGAATTTAATTCCATCTGACTACGTGTTCGGACGGCAGGACCGCGGACAGTTGAAGATACTGCCTTACAAATGTTTGACAATTATGGCACAGCCTTAAAACTCGAACAACAGAACTAGCTACAGTCAGTCAATGACCGGATCTTAGCAGTATGTGAGGGACAGAAAAAAGTTAACGATTTATAAAGCCGACATGGTACGTTTACAGTGTGTCTTGACTTAGGAGTGTAAGTCTCTTTAAGGTCATCATAACACAGTTCACTTGCTTAGTGTTGACAGTGTCTCGTACAGTTCGTGATGTGTCAATTGAGATAAGTGCATGATATGTCAAGTTGGGTCAGTGGTGTGTCAAATGTAGCTAGCGGTTTGTCAACTGGTTGCGATGTGTCAAGTGCGGTTAGTGGTGTGTCAACTATGGTCAGCTGTGTGTCGAGTTGGGTCAGCGGTGTAACGTGTGGTTAGCGACATGTCAAGTTTGGTAAGCGATGTGTCAATTTTGGTTGGTGATGTTCGGGTTTCGTCTTTAACAATAACTACCCTTGTCCGTATTCTTCTATATGTTTGTAATTTTCAAAATTTACTCGGTGGACCAGACACTATAGTTGATACAAAAGATTTATAATAGACACAAGAGTTTATATATATACCGAAGCTGTTTAGTCTGATAACAAAATGCAGGAGATGATGTAAACTTATTTTACCAGTAAGTTTCTGGCACATTCTATTTTGAGCTGTAAAACGAGAACCCTCTTCATCTGTATACATGTTAATGCAGGAGTTTACATTGTACAATGTAAGAGTTGTTATGTTTTTATATTGCCCGTATATGATGCAGTTGTCTATGTGTATACGTCACCATTAATTGTGTATGTAATTAGTAGTACTAGTATTTTTTTTTCGGGAGTTAATATAAATACTAATACACAGTTTGCTGGTGGTGCCCGTAGTGAAAATTAACCTATGTTTTATCGTGTCCATAAGTCATTGTATGACATGATGGCCTAGGGACAAGAATAACCAACACGTCTCTCATTAACTAAAACACCATAGGGATTTGATATCTTGGACATGTCCTGGCGTTTTACGAATTCTCTCCCCGTACCAACAATCTTCCTTAGACAAAAAAGGTCATAAATTGCCTGGAATAGTTTTCAGGCACTGTGTGAGAAACACGCCTGGATTGGTCCAAATAGTTCTCATGCCCCTGTGTGAGAAACACGCGTGGATTGGTCCAAATAGTTCTCATGCCCCTGTGTGAGAAACACGCTTGGATCGGTCCAACTATTTCTCATGCCCTTGTGTGAGAAACGCGCCCGGATGGGTTCAAATAGTTCTCATGCCCCTGTGTGAGAAACACGCCTGGATGGGTTCAAATAGTTCTCATGCCCCTGTGTGAGAAACAGGCCTGGATGGGTCCAAATAGTTCTCATGCCCCTGTGTGAGAAACACGCCTGGATGGGTCCATCTATTTCTCGTGCCCCTGAATGAGAAACTACTGACAAGAAAGGTGTCCATGGCAACACGGAGCTCAGGGAATACTCTCACAAGGACAATGGACTCGAGGTGTGGGAATCCCCGTCGATATATTGATAAAACTACATGTAACGCTGGCTCTTGTGTGATGCCATCATATCTGTGGTGTTATCGAGGTGTGACAAACTAACATTAGGTACAATCCAATACATTAATACTAACATCAGACGTAGATAGTGCTCATCAAAAAGCGTCGCAATAATTGAAAGGAAATCAGCAAATTACGCTGTAGTTTTGGAGTTGTAAGTAACATTAAGTCACGACCGACATCATTGTGAGGTACATAAATGAAGTCCCAGTATCCTTCGACCCCAGCACCAGACGTACAATTTGACAGACGAATGATCTGTGTGTATCATGTCACATGTTGGGCAGTCTTATAGTGAGATTGGCTAACCAATTACTCTTCAATTATTATCATATTTGTGTGTTATATACGCGTCAATACATTTATTGATACAAAAATGTATCGTATCCAGAGTACGGCGCCTTCCGGTTGAATGACGCGCCTATGACTTCTTCGTGATGGTTCCCCTCAGTAGTCAACAATCCTCGCTTCTTCTAGTAACTAAGATGTCAAGTATGTATCGATGACTTGTATAAATATTTTGGAGAACACGCGTACACCCCTGACGTAATGATGATATCCGGTAGAATGACGCTGAAACTTGGGAAGGTGTCTAGACACAACAGAATTCCATATAGACCGAATAAATGTGCGATTACTTATTGAAATCGAAATTGTATGTAATTTTTGTTCAAATATCTTATTCATTTGAACATTATAGTCGTTAATGCCAAAAATACGAAAATACGGATTAGAATATTCAACGCATGAATGCTACGTTGTACTGGTCTATTGCGCCTAATTTCTTTAATTTTTTCATAGTAAGTTTTTTGGACGGATTTGGGTCTTTCTATATTTAATGATGGCGTAGTTCCGATATGCCACATCATCGGCACGCCTGCATGTATACTTACAAATTGAAAGCATTCAGGCTGACGTATGCATTCCTTATACTTCAAACATTGCTCAAGTGTGTGTATCATCGTGTAAACATGCTTGCGGTATTTTAATGCATGTCGTAAGATGTTCGTCTATGGTTCTCGTCTTATAACTGGGACTGTACAGTGATCAGAATTGATCTGCATTTCCCCACTGTAACGTAAAAGATTTTATGTTCCCGTTTCTTTCTCTTTGTTATATAAGTGACTTTATACACTAGGGATAGTTCCCCTTATTACGCTGACTGTTGCAAACACATAACATAGTAATTGACAAACAATTAATTTTACATACAAACATGTCAAAGTTTGGGCTGTATTATCTATACTGATAAAGTTTTAACTCCACAACAAAACATGTAGGTACATATACGACCTAGATACGTACTCACGTGACTGGTCTAAATGACCGGTGAAGATGTCGACATTGATATATGTTGGCGTTTAGCCCCAGGTATTTGTCAACTTTCAGAATACATATGTACATGGATATTACAGCGATCTCTTTATTTATATCGTAAGATGGCCCTTGAAAATGACCCTATCATACCATTGTACCAGACTATATCACAGCTATAGTGTTTTCTCTGTTCCATCATTTGACATAACCAGGTTTAAAAGCTTGTTGTTTAAAACAATATTTATAGTAGTGAATATTACACAGTCTGCCAATCCCGGTTTCTGGGACAGATATGCGCATTCAGCTCTGTCTGTGTCTCCTATAGTTGTAATCTTTATATGTATAACACATGTAATTCACCCTTACTCTATGTATACCACCTGTTGTAACGTGCCTAACTCTATGTATAACACCTGTTGTAACGCGCCCTTACTCTATGTATCACACCTGTTGTAACGCGTCCTTACTCTTATGTATCACACCTTTTGTAACGCGCCCTTACTCTATGTATCATACCTGTTGTAACGCGCCCTTAATCTATGTATAACACCTTTTGTAACGCGCCCTCACTCTATGTATAACACCTGTTGTAACGCGCCCTTAATATATGTATCACAACTGTTGTAACACGCCCTTAATCTATGTATAACACCTTTTGTAACGCGCCCTTACTCTATGTATAACACCTGTTGTAACGCGCCCTTACTCTATGTATCACACCTTTTGAAACGCGCCCTCACTCTATGTATAACACCTGTTGTAACTCGCCGTCACTCTATGTATAACACCTGTTGTAACGCGCCCTTAATCTATGTATAACACCTGTTGTAACGCGCCCTTACTCTATGTATAACACCTGTTGTAACGCGCCCTTAATCTATGTATAACACCTGTTGTAACGCGCCCTCACTCTTTGTATAACCACTGTTGTAACGCGCCCTTACTCTATGTATAACACCTGTTGTAACGCGCCCTTACTCTATGTATAACACCTGTTGTAACGCGCCCTTACTCTAAGTATAACATCTGTTGTAACGCGCCCTTACTCTATGTATAACACCTGTTGTAACGCGCCCTTAATCTATGTATAACACCTGTTGTAACGCGCCCTTACTCTATGTATCACACCTGTTGTAACGCGCCCTTACACTATGTATAACACCGTTGTAACGCGCCCTTGCTCTAAGTCTATTGTGACGCGCCCTTACTCTATATGTATCACACCTGTTGTAACGCGCCCTTAATCTATGTATAACACCTTTTGTAACGCGCCCTCACTCTATGTATAACACCTGTTGTAACGCGCCCTTAATCTATGTATCACACCTGTTGTAACGCGCCCTTACTCTATGTATAACACCTGTTGTAACGCGCCCTTACACTATGTATAACACCTTTTGTAACGCGCCCTCACTCTATGTATAACACCTGTTGTAACGCGCCCTTAATCTATGTATCACACCTGTTGTAACGCGCCCTTACTCTATGTATCACACCTGTTGTAACGCGCCCTTACTCTATGTATAACACCTGTTGTAACGCGCCCTTACCCTATGTATCACACCTTTTGAAACGCGCCCTCACTCTATGTATAACACCTGTTGTAACTCGCCGTCACTCTATGTATAACACCTGTTGTAACGCGCCCTTAATCTATGTATAACACCTGTTGTAACGCGCCCTTACTCTATGTATAACACCTGTTGTAACGCGCCCTTACTCTATGTATCACACCTTTTGTAACGCGCCCTCACTCTATGTATAACACCTGTTGTAACTCGCCCTTACTCCATGTATAACACCTGTTGCAACGCGCCGTCACTCTATGTATTACACCTGTTGTAACGCGCCCTTACACAATGTATCACACCTGTTGTACCGCGCCCTTACTCTAAGTATAACACCTGTTGTAACGCGCCCTTACTCTATGTATCACACCTGTTGTAACGCGCCCTTAATCTATGTATAACACCTGTTGTAACGCGCCCTCACTCTTTGTATAAGCACTGTTGTAACGCGCCCTTACTCTATGTATAACACCAGTTGTAACGCGCCCTTACTCTATGTATAACACCTGTTGTAACGCGCAATTACTCTATGTATAACACCTGTTGTAACGAGCCCTTACACTATGTATAACACCGTTGTAACGCGCCCTTGCTCTAAGTCTATTGTGACGCGCCCTTACTCTATGTATAACACCTGTTGTAACGCGCAATTACTCTATGTATAACACCTGTTGTAACGAGCCCTTACACTATGTATAACACCTGTTGTAACGCGCTCTTACTCTATGTATAACACCTGTTTTAACGCGCCCTTACTCTATGTATAACACCTGTTGTAACGCACCCTTACTCAATGTATAACACCTGTTGTAACGCACCCTTATTCAATGTATAACACCTGTTTTAACGCGCACTTACTCAATGTATAACACCTGTTGTAACGCACCCTTATTCAATGTATAACACCTGTTGTAACGCGCCCTTGCTCTACGTCTATTGTGACGCGCCCTTACTCTAAGTCTATTGTAACGCGCCCTTACTCTATGTATCACACCTGTTGTAACGCGCCCTTACACTATGTATAACACCTGTTGTAACGTGCCCTTGCTCTAAGTCTATTGTGACGCGCCCTTACTCTATATGCATCACACCTGTTGTAACGTGTCCTCTGTACAGTTTTGGAAAGTACCTTATAGTTTGATCACAGTCCCGTTGGAAGCGATAACAATGTCGCTGCAATCATTTTATAACACTTATTCATTTCAGTAGTTATATATGACATCTGCTTTTGAGAAGAAAACCTATATAATCAAAATCCAGTATATTAATTTCACAGTATACACTAAATATGATCTACGTTACACGTTTAAAATACTTGGCGTTCGTCAGGGTCATCGGTGCAGTTTGTAATAAGCGACTATTGTATATGCAAAACAGTCGTGTGTATTGATAACATTCAAGAAACGATTACTGACATTGCACAGGATCGGGTTACAAAACTGATACACAAACCAGCACAATTAAGTGTAGATATGCACCCACTCCCTCTCCTCCTCTACACACCACACACGTTCTTCCGCCCTCAATACACACCAAGCACACACGGCCTTCCCAATTACACACAACACACGCACCTCCCCGCTACAAACCACACACGCAGCAGTTCTTCCACTACACACGCCTCTTCGCTCTTAATACACACCATCCGCACACGCCCTTCTCCACTACACACTACTCATGCACCTCCCACCACAACACACCCACCTCCCCCAGTACACACCACACTGGCGCTCCTCTGTCCGCACTGCACTCCACGCACACACGTCCTCGCGTTACACACCACACAAACATGTACGCCCCTCCCCTACTACACACCTTGCACACACTCCCTTCCCCAATACACATCACATACACGCTTCTGTCCGACTACACACCACACACATGCGCCTCCTCAACTACACACTACACTACACATACATAAAAGCCCTTTCCATCCTACACACCATGCAGACACGCTCCTCCTCTATTACACACCACACCCGCTACTCTCCTACTACACACCATGAACATTCTCCTCTCCTACTACACATTACACACGTGCTTCTCTCAACTACACACCCAGCACCCATTTATACACCCTAAATACACTCTCCTCCCCTTCTACACACCTCACAGACGCTACTACCCAACTACACACTACACACCATACACGCGCCCGTCCACCAATGCACCACCTACCCCCACGCACGTCTCCTACTAAACCCAAACATACACGCCCTTCCCCCACTACACCACACACACGCCCTGCCCCCATTACACACCACACACGCCCCGCCCCCAATACACCACAAACACACACCACCCCTCACTGCATCGCAATCACGCCCCTCCCGCATTGCGTCACACACACGCCCCTCCCACCTTTAACCACACACACGCCCCTCCCCCACTGCACACCACACACGCCCTCCTCCACTAAACCACACATACCCCTCCCCCACTACACATCACAAAACACGCTTCTTCTGCCCATCCCCCACTACACACACGTCTCTCCCCACTACACCACATACACGCCCCTACCTCACTTCACCACACACTACTTCTGTACTACACACCGAACACGTGCCCCTTCCACCACTTCACGTGACACGTTTCGAAAGTACCACTTTAATTTTGCTCATTTTCTAACATTACGCTGAGGTCTCTTTTCTCCAATATCATGTTTTATACTAACATAGATTACAGGTTACGGTTATACTGCCAGACCATACTATTACTGTATACATATACTGGGGCAATACACTCTGCTCTCGACTTCTCGTTACCATAAGAGATACAAATTGTTTTTATTTATATCTCAAATAATTAACAATCTCTAATAAAAAGGGTTTAGTCAATGCAATGTTTTAAAAAGAAATGGATTTTAAAACTAAATAAAAGTATGATTTTATTTGTTATATACCCTCTCAAAGTTAAATAATATGTCAACATACATTGTACATTAAATAGATATGATATGAAGCAGTGTGTTTTAGGAGTCAATACAGTAAACAGTATCTGGACTTAGATAGATAACACGATATATATATGTAAGTAGAGAAATGACTGTAAAAACTTGACGGCTTTAATTGTATCAGTATGTCGAATCGAGTGAGTTCTGTGTGTAAAATAATTACTAAATGACATACAAAACACACTTTGATATATGAATAAAAATGAACTGGCATGCAATTGCAAACAAATATTTTGTCAAATACGAGTACGAATAAAGGCATCACTGCTCTTTTTCTGTTTTGTAGGTGTGAACTTTGTATTGAGGAAGTTGGCAGCGGCGGCTAGTTCAACCATGACCATCACACGCGAGGGCAACCAGATACGTATCGTCACCAAAGGCCCTAAAGATACTGACGTCATCTTCGAGCTCAACAAGGAGGTTTTGTCACATGACCCCAATGATAACGAAATGAAGGTTTGCTGTCAGCCTCTCACTTTCATTCGTACATCATATTAAAGTAACTTTATCATAGATATGTCATATAAAAGTAAACCTGAAAGAGGTATATCGTCAAACCTCGTTATCTCGAACTATATGGGGCCAAGGGAAAACTTCGAGATAATCGAGTTATCTAAAGTTGGGCAGGGACCGACAAAATGCTTCAAATTCAATATGTTTTACACGAGTTCGAGATAACAGGTTAGACTTTATCAATATATGTAACATGATACTAACATTTATTACATGATACGAGAGACGTATATATATCACCTGGTGTTATATATATCTCTGATGATACTAATATTTCAACATTATTTTCTAGGCGACTGTAACGTGGTCTGGCGGTAAACTTACGACAGATTCCGAACCAACGGAGGGGTCAAAGGGCAAGGCCACTTTGGTGGAACGATGGATAGAAGGGGAGGAACTGATAATGGTTTGTAATATATAAATTGTGTGGTGTTAAAAGTCTCTTTGTACATGTAGGTTACCTTATAGACGATAAGACAGGGCATCCGGAAGCCCAAAGTTCAAGGTTGTATTTTGAATGTTATGTGTATCACAAGACAGTCTTCATAACATATGCTATCTACAGTAGACAATGAGTGGACAAAATTAATAAAGGAAACACTTGTTACGTGATTTACAGAAAGATCGATGGCCCCGATGGCTTACCGTACACTGTCTCAACGTACACTCCACTGTGGGGGGACAAGACTGCGTGAAATTGTTTTCTTGTTAGAGATCCAGCCGTAGTGATTGATTTTTCAGGCCAGGTTATTGCCGAAGAGATGAGTAGGTCTTATGCTGTGGTAGAATATTGTGGTGCTGGCAGCTGTTCGATCCTCGCACAAAATTCGATATTCTTAAAACACGTAGTTAGCGTTTCTTGACAGGGTCAGATGAAAGGTGTTAAAGTGTACGTTTTGAACTGTAAAATGCAAAGGTATCGGACAAAAATGGGAAAATGTAATTTGCAATAATCAACAGTAGCAAAGATATCCTCATGCAATGTTTGTTCTGATAATGAAGTATGGCAAGTCACTGTGTTGTACAGTTAACGGTATAGTGATGTGACAAGTGCACGTGTTGTACAGTTAACGGTAAAGTGATGTGACAAGTCCTTGTGTTGTACAGTTAACGGTATAGTGACGTGACATGTGCCCGTGTTGTACAGTTAACGGTATAGTGATGTGACAAGTGCCCTTGTTTTACAGTTAACGGTATAGTGATGTGACAAGTCCCCGTGTTGTACAGTTAGCGGTATAGTGATGTGACCAGTCCCCGTGTTGTATAGTTAACGGTATAGTGATGTGACCAGTCCCCGTGTTGTACATTTAACGGTATAGTGATATGACAAGTCCCTATGTTGTACAGTTAACGATATAGTGATATGACATGTGCCCGTGTTGTGCAGATAGCGGTATAGTGATGTGACCAGTCCCCGTGTTGTACAATTAACGGTATAGTGATGTGACCAGTCCCCGTGTTGTACAGTCAGCGGTATAGTGATGTGACCAGTCCCCGTGTTGTACAGTTAACGGTAAAGTGATGTGACAAGACCCTATGTTGTACAGTTAACGGTATAGTGATGTGACCAGTCCCCGTGTTTTACAGTTAACGGTATAGTGATGTGACAAGTGCCCGTGTTGTACAGTTAACGATATAGTGATATGACATGTGCCCGTGTTGTGCAGATAGCGGTATAGTGATGTGACCAGTCCCTGTGTTGTACAGTTAGCGTTATAGTGATGTGACCAGTCGCCGTGTTGTACAGCGTTTTAAGGTTTTAAGCGGTGAGACCTGTTTCGGTACGATTTTCTTAGTGGTGTGGCCGGTTTCCGTGTGAATCAGTAAGTAGAGTGACTGGTTTCTGTGTGGCATATTTAGTGCAGTGACCGGTTTCCGTGTGGTACAGTAAGTAGAGTGACTGGTTTCTGTGTGGTACAGTAAGTAGTGTGACTGGTTTCTGTGTGGTACAGTAAGTAGTGTGACCGATTTCTGTGTGGAACAGTAAGTAGTGTGACCGATTTCTGTGTGATACAGTAAGTAGTGTGACCGATTTCTGTGTGGTACAGTAAGTAGTGTGACCGATTTCTGTGTGGTACAGTAAGTAGTTTGACTGGTTTCTGTGTGGTACAGTAAGTAGTGTGACCGGATTCATTGTTGTACTGTTAACAATGTAGTTGTGTGACCGGTTCCCTTGTACATTTAAGAATGTAATTTGAGACCAGATTTCGTCCAAGGTAAAATAAACGTATCTACCTTGAGATAGATGGGTCTGTTGTCTGATAATGTTTTGCACAGTGTATAAAACGTCTTGCCGACGAGTGTTTACTGGCATTTTGAAAGAGTGATAGAAATCGAAGAGAAGTACAGTGCAACTCTGGGAAATCATTAGACGACACCAAGGTAGTGCCGTCTCGGGAGACATCTCAAAAACATTCTGAATATTGTAACTTTCTTTTATCCAGATTTGATAAAATTCTTTCTTTCTGGTTTCAGAGTGTTAAAGTCAACAATGTGGTGATGAAAAGGATATTTAAGAAGAAGAGTTAAACAGTCTCGGCGATATTTAGGTTACGTTTGACTGTAGGACATTGAAACTATTTTTCTACTTGAATCAAGCACATTGACACTTTAAAACTTACAAACTACTCTCACGTGCCGTGTGGACTTGTCGACATGCCTTTATGAGGGTGTTTTTATTAATATTAAATTAGCGAGACCATAACTAATGTATAAAATCATTGTTGATGTTTTTGCCGATTTTACACATATTAAATTTGAGTTTGTTTACATGATATAATTGCGATGCTCTTTAATCTAAAGAAACCGTGTAATTTATAGATAGTCAAGATATGTATGGAAATATTTCTGTAGAGAAAAAAAAGATGATCAAGGATTTTCACTGGTATCATTAAATAGGCGTGCCATCAGTGCATACAGCGTGATATATGTCATTGACTTGGTGACTACGTGACAAGATGACATGTAAAAGGAGAGGTCTGTGTGGCTTGTACATAAGTGTTAAATACGTTCGCTGTCTCCCAGCAGGCTGAGCATTTTCCTATGGCTTAGTTGGTAGAACTGGAAACCCGAGTTCGATACCCGAAGAGGGATCTCGCCGTCCAACATTGTTTGATCTTTATTTGCTGTTTGAAATATGGATCTTTTCCCTTCTTTTCTGTTCTCTTCTCTGTTTTTGCTCTTAATGATAAGACATTTGAACATTCATTCGCAGGAATTGTGATAATGATCTTAACCTTCCAAATCCAAAATGGTCGCGTGGAAGTATTTTTGTTTCTTCTGATTAGTCCCTGTATCAAACGGACACAAGTAAAGACGGGAACATAGATATTAAATTTGAGAGAGATCCATTCGGTACTTCTAAAGAAATGAGGAAAACAATCTTAACTAGGTGAAATTCAAGATGTCTGCCTGTTGGCCATTTTGTTTTTCTGATCTGGCCCAAACTCAAACAAGCAAAACTAGTTATCAAGAGGAAACTATACATGAAATTTGAGACATGGCGATAACAAACTTTCAAATTCAAAATCCAAGATGGCCGTCTGTCGGCCATTTCGTTTTTTTGATCAGACCCAAATCGAACGGGCATAACTAAAGGGTAATCTAAATACAAAATTTGAGAGGGATCTATGCAGAACTTCTTAAGAAATAGCGACAGTAAAAATTGTTTTACTGACAGATGGATGGAGGATGGGCCACAGACGTAGGGTGATTAGAATAGCCAACCATCTGATGATGGTGAATAAAAAATATAACTAATTAGATATTTCTGAAGGATGTCAGCACCCACAATTGTATGATATTTACTGGTAAACTGGAATTGCCCATTTTGTTTTCAAAACACAAAAACCAAAGGAAATTAACATAAACATGAAATTGGAGCATTCCTTGTCCTCTAGGATGACTCATCAGCCATTTGGTTTTCCAATCAAAATCAGTCCCCAAACTGAAAACAAGGAGATAAGGGGGTTTCCAGTTAATTTGAGAATAATCCATCGAGTACTTCTCAGTAAAACAGAAATACCCTGGTACCAATAAAGCCATTGATAATTAGAATCAAAATGGCTGTCTGTTGACCACTTTCAATATTCTTAGAAGTCCTCAAATTGACAATGCACAACTAGGGGCCCAGGTAACCTATAAACTCTACATATAAGGTTCAAGAATGATCCAGCCATTGATACATGTAAAAAAAATAGACAACTTATAGCTGTGAAAGAAATGTACACTTTGCAAACAACGGACATTACACTTAAAGTGTACAAGAAATTTGAGAATGATACAGTATTTCTAAAAAAATAGCAATAACAAAACTTGTTGATGGACCATGGGCAAAAACCGATTTGCATAGCTTATCAGCTGACTAGATAAAAGTCTAGTAAATGAGTTTTGAAAATGGGAACGGAGGTCAAAAGTTATGTGGTCACTGGCCCAACCACGTGGGTTTTTCTCGTGATACTCTGGTTTCCTCCAACAATTAGACCTCCTGCGTCCTTCCATTCCGGCCAACAAGAGTGATTAATACAAGCTGAAAGCTTGTTTTTCAATTTTTGTAAAATGAATCAAGTTTATTACCGGGGTATGTATACTAGTTAAAGTATGATTTGATGTAACCTTCAATATACATACACAAAGTATCCCTCAGTCATTAAAGTTCCCCTGCTGATGTACATGTACAAATAAAAGCCATTAATAACCAGGTCCCAGTCTTTAAAATTCATTTTCACTAAAATCAAGTCATCTTTTTGAATTCTGTAAACCAACTTTATTGTGTAATTAAATCTTTTGCAATATTCATATATAACAAAAGTTCATATCAATTTCTGTTCACCACACTAAAAACAAAGTTAGCATCAATTGCTGTTCACCACACTAAAAACAAAGTTTGCATCAATTTCTGTCACATGTATGTAGTATAATTTGTGATTTTGTTTCCATCAAGAAATTCATGTAAGTTAGTAGCATGTGAAAGTATTTTCTGTAGTCAAAGAGAAAATTCTCTTTGATGAGCTATAATCAAATGGATATCTTACCCCTTAAATCACCCTAATTAAAATATCATACCCCTTAAATCACCCAATTACAATATTATACCCCTTAAATCACCCAATTAAAATATTATACCCCTTAAATCACCCAATTAAAATATTATACCCCTTAAATCACCCAATTAAAATATTATACCCCTTAAATCACCCAATTAAAATATTATACCCCTTAAATCACCCAATTAAAATATCATACCCCTTAAATCACCCAATTAAAATATCATACCCCTTAAATCACCCAATTACAATATTATACCCCTTAAATCACCCAATTACAATATTATACCCCTTAAATCACCCAATTAAAATATTATACCCCTTAAATCACCCAATTAAAATATTATACCCCTTAAATCACCCAATTAAAATATTATACCCCTTAAATCACCCAATTAATATATGAACTGCTTCACTGATACATGAAGTAACAATGATTATATCAAACAACAAAATTGCTAAATGTCGTAGTTTGAAATAAAAAAAAATACATGTATAGATATAATCGGCTCCTTTTATGGAAAATGAAGTAGCAAATGATAACATGTAGCAGCGTTTTGTTTAATCGATATTTAAAATTTGTTTTGAATAAAATACATTTATATTTCCTGAACCTTAAATCATTGAATGAAATTCTGATATGTGTAAAACACAGACACGCACAGGGTAATTAAGGCAAAACGTACATTCAGTTTCATTTTGAAAGCTGTTAAAAATTGACTGCATATGAATTCTAAAGGTAGAATTTGTAACACAGGAGATCTTGAAAAAGAGTATTCTTGTCTACAAACAGTACATTGTATAGCAGTAAGTCATTGATACATATAACAACAATGTTCCATATTCACTGAGCAACAGTTGAAACATCAGTATCACAATGTCAATTTGTAGTATTCTAAATAACTTTTGCACAGCATGTTTCACTTTTTACATACTATATCCTAACTCACTTGTAAGTGGTGTGTTTCACATTTTACATACTATATCCTAACTCACTTGTCAGTGGTGTGTTTCACATTTTACATACTATATCCTAACTCACTTGTTAGTGGTGTGTTTCACATTTTACATACCATACCCTAACTCACTTGTAAGTGGTGTGTTTCACATTTTACATACCATATCCTAACTCACTTGTAAGTGGTATGTTTCACATTTTACATACCATATCCTAACTCACTTGTAAGTGGTGTGTTTCACATTTTACATACCATATCCTAAGTGGTATGTTTCACATTTTACATACCATATCCTAACTCACTTGTAAGTGGTATGTTTCACATTTTACATACCATATCCTAGCTCACTTGTAAGTGGTATGTTTCACATTTTACATACTATATTCTTAACTTGCATGTAACGTGTTTCATATCTTAAATGTCACATACTTGATAATTTGTATGTAAAACATGTTTCTCATTTAAATGGCAAAACCAGCTGATACATATATACTGTGTGTAATCTCCAGACAAAGTCTCTGTGTCTGTAAAGTGACAGCCATAAACAAGCACCAGCACTTTTAGTCCATTTGATGAAGAGACTGGTACTCCTTCTCTCGGCGTGCAAATGTCTCTGCGACCAGCAGTGGAAACACCAGAGTAGCTTCAGCACAGAGCTGTTCAATTATACAAAAAAATATAAAACAGGGCTTTTAATGTCAATCATAAATATGTTTTAACCTTTGATAAAATGGCTACTCTGTTTATATAAACATATTTTCATTCATTTCAAATCTTGTTTCAAAATCACACTAAATTTAAAGGAAAATTGGATTTTTTAAATGCAGATCAATTATTTGAAAAATTGAAACAGAGTTAGGGTTACAGGTAATTATGACTGAAAAAGAAACAATGATTTTGTGGTTTATACTACGTACAGTATTTGTAGTCTGAAGATCAATGTAAGCTACAGTACCTTAACAGGTGTCGCATCTTTCTTTATCTTGCCCCAGGACACTGCCTCATCAGGACTGGCTCCAGCATCACTACCATCAAACTCATTGGCTGTATTTATATACACTGAGAAATCGGCTCCATTTCTCTGTCAAACAACAGCAGCAGGAATAATGAAAATATATTAGCAGCAGGAATAATGAAAATATATTAGCAGCAGGAATAATGAAAATATTACACCAGCAGGAATAATGAAAATATTACAGCAGCAGGAATAATGAAAATATTACACCAGCAGGAATAATGAAAATATTACAGCAGCAGGAATAATGAAAATATTACACCAGCAGGAATAATGAAAATATTACACCAGCAGGAATAATGAAAATATTACACTAGCAGGAATAATGAATATATTACACTAGCAGGAATAATGAAAATATTACACCAGCAGGAATAATGAAAATATTACACCAGCAGGAATAATGAAAATATTACGGCAGCAGGAATAATGAAAATATTACAGCAGCAGCAATAATGAATATATTACAGCAGCAAGAAAAATGAAAATATTACACCAACAGCAATAATGAAAATATTACAGCAGTAGGAATAATGAAAATATCACACCAGCAGGAATAATGAAAATATTACAGCAGCAGGAATAATGAAAATATTAACCAGCAGGAATAATGAAAATATTACACCAGCAGGAATAATGAAAATATTACACCAGCAGGAATAATGAAAATATTACAGCAGCAGGAATAATGAAAATATTACACTAGCTGGAGTAATGAAAATATTACATCAGCAGGAATAATGAAAATATTACACTAGCTGGAGTAATGAAAATATTACACCAGCAGGAATAATGAAAATATTACACTAGCTGGAATAATGAAAATATTACACTAGCTGGAGTAATGAAAATATTACACCAGCAGGAATAATGAAAATATTACACCAGCAGGAATAATGAAAATATTACACTAGCAGCAATAATGGAAATATTACACTAGCTGGAGTAATGAAAATATTACAGCAGCAGGAATAATGAAAATATTACACCAGCAGGACTAATGAAAATATTACAGCAGCAGGAATAATGAAAATATTACAGCAGCAGGAATAATGAAAATATTACACCAGCAAGAATAATGAAAATATTACACCAGCAGGAATAATGAAAATATTACACCAGCAGGAATAATGAAAATATTACAGCAGCAGGACTAATGAAAATATTACAGCAGCAGGAATAATGAAAATATTACACCAGCAGGAATAATGAAAATATTACGGCAGCAGGAATAATGAAAATATTACAGCAGCAGCAATAATGAATATATTACAGCAGCAAGAAAAATGAAAATATTACACCAACAGCAATAATGAAAATATTACAGCAGTAGGAATAATGAAAATATTACACCAGCAGGAATAATGAAAATATTACAGCAGCAGGAATAATGAAAATATTAACCAGCAGGAATAATGAAAATATTACACCAGCAGGAATAATGAAAATATTACACCAGCAGGAATAATGAAAATATTACAGCAGCAGGAATAATGAAAATATTACACTAGCTGGAGTAATGAAAATATTACATCAGCAGGAATAATGAAAATATTACACTAGCTGGAGTAATGAAAATATTACACCAGCAGGAATAATGAAAATATTACACTAGCTGGAATAATGAAAATATTACACTAGCTGGAGTAATGAAAATATTACACCAGCAGGAATAATGAAAATATTACACCAGCAGGAATAATGAAAATATTACACTAGCAGCAATAATGGAAATATTACACTAGCTGGAGTAATGAAAATATTACAGCAGCAGGAATAATGAAAATATTACACCAGCAGGACTAATGAAAATATTACAGCAGCAGGAATAATGAAAATATTACAGCAGCAGGAATAATGAAAATATTACACCAGCAAGAATAATGAAAATATTACACCAGCAGGAATAATGAAAATATTACACCAGCAGGAATAATGAAAATATTACAGCAGCAGGACTAATGAAAATATTACACCAGCAGGAATAATGAAAATATTACACCAGCAGGAATAATGAAAATATTACACTAGCAGCAATAATGGAAATATTACACTAGCTGGAGTAATGAAAATATTACAGCAGCAGGAATAATGAAAATATTACACCAGCAGGACTAATGAAAATATTACAGCAGCAGGAATAATGAAAATATTACAGCAGCAGGAATAATGAAAATATTACACCAGCAAGAATAATGAAAATATTACAGCAGCAGGACTAATGAAAATATTACAGCAGCAGGAATAATGAAAATATTACACCAGCAGGAATAATGAAAATATTACACCAGCAGGAATAATGAAAATATTAACCAGCAGGAATAATGAAAATATTACAGCAGCAGGAATAATGAAAATATTACAGCATCAGGAATAATGAAAATATTACAGCATCAGGAATAATGAAAATATTACAGCAGCAGGATAAATGAAAATATTACAGCAGCAGGAATAATGAAAATATTACACCAGCAGGAATAATGAAAATATTACACTAGCTGGAGTAATGAAAATATTACACCAGCAGGAATAATGAAAATATTACACTAGCTGGAGTAATGAAAATATTACACCAGCAGGAATAATGAAAATATTACACTAGCAGCAATAATGGAAATATTACACCAGCAGGAATAATGAAAATATTACACTAGCAGGAATAATGAAAATATTACACCAGCAGGACTAATGAAAATAATACAGCAGCAGGAATAATGAAAATATTACAGCAGCAGGAATAATGAAAATATTACACCAGCAGGAATAATGAAAATATTACAGCAGCAGGAATAATGAAAATATTACACCAGCAGGAATAATGAAAATATTACAGCAGCAGGACTAATGAAAATATTACACCAGCAGGAATAATGAAAATATTACAGCAGCAGGAATAATGAAAATATTACAGCATCAGGAATAATGAAAATATTACAGCAGCAGGATAAATGAAAATATTACAGCAGCAGGAATAATGAAAATATTACACCAGGAGGAATAATGAAAATATTACACTAGCTGGAGTAATGAAAATATTACACCAGCAGGAATAATGAAAATATTACACTAGCTGGAGTAATGAAAATATTACACCAGCAGGAATAATGAAAATATTACACTAGCTGGAGTAATGAAAATATTACACTAGCTGGAGTAATGAAAATATTACACTAGTTGGAATAATGAAAATATTACACCAGCAGGAATAATGAAAATATTACACCAGCAGGAATAATGAAAATATTACACCAGCAGGAATAATGAAAATATTACAGCAGCAGGAATAATGAAAATATTACAGCAGCAGGAATAATGAAAATATTACAGCATCAGGAATAATGAAAATATTACAGCAGCAGGATAAATGAAAATATTACAGCAGCAGGAATAATGAAAATATTACACCAGCAGGAATAATGAAAATATTACACTAGCTGGAGTAATGAAAATATTACACCAGCAGGAATAATGAAAATATTACACTAGCAGCAATAATGGAAATATTACACTAGCTGGAGTAATGAAAATATTACAGCAGCAGGAATAATGAAAATATTACACTAGCAGGAATAATGAAAATATTACACCAGCAGGACTAATGAAAATAATACAGCAGCAGGAATAATGAAAATATTACAGCAGCAGGAATAATGAAAATATTACACCAGCAGGAATAATGAAAATATTACAGCAGCAGGAATAATGAAAATATTACACCAGCAGGAATAATGAAAATATTACAGTAGCAGGACTAATGAAAATATTACAGCATCAGGAATAATGAAAATATTACAGCAGCAGGAATAATGAAAATATTACAGCAGCAGGAATAATGAAAATATTACAGCAGCAGGAATAATGAAAATATTACAGCAGCAGGAATAATGAAAATATTACACCAGCAGGAATAATGAAAATATTACACTAGCTGGAGTAATGAAAATATTACACCAGCAGGAATAATGAAAATATTACACTAGCTGGAGTAATGAAAATATTACACCAGCAGGAATAATGAAAATATTACACTAGCTGGAGTAATGAAAATATTACACTAGCTGGAGTAATGAAAATATTACACTAGTTGGAATAATGAAAATATTACACCAGCAGGAATAATGAAAATATTACACCAGCAGGAATAATGAAAATATTACACTAGCTGGAATAATGAAAATATAACACTAGCTGGAGTAATGAAAATATTACACCAGCAGGAATAATGAAAATATTACAGCAGCAGGAATAATGAAAATATTACACTAGCAGCAATAATGGAAATATTACACTAGCTGGAGTAATGCAAATATTACAGCAGCAGGAATAATGAAAATATTACACTAGCAGGAATAATGAAAATATTACACTAGCTGGAATAATGAAAATATTACACTAGCTGGAGTAATGAAAATATTACACCAGCAGGAATAATGAAAATATTACACCAGCAGGAATAATGCAAATATTACACTAGCAGCAATAAAGGAAATATTACAGCAGCAGAAATAATGAAAATATTACACCAGCAGGAATAATGAAAATATTACACCAGCAGGAATAATGAAAATATTACACTAGCTGGAGTAATGAAAATATTACAGCAGCAGGAATAATGAAAATATTACACCAGCAGGAATAATGAACTAGCTGGAGTAATGAAAATATTACACTAGCTGGAATAATGAAAATATTACACTAGCTGGAGTAATGAAAATATTACACTAGCTGGAGTAATGAAAATATTACACCAGCAGGAATAATGAAAATATTACACTAGCTGGAGTAATGAAAATATTACAGCAACAGGAATAATGAAATATTACACCAGCAGGAATTATGAAAATATTACACCAGCAGGAATAATGAAAATATTACACCAGCAGGAATAATGAATATATTACACCAGCAGGAATAATGAAAATATTACAGCAGCAGGAGTAATGAAAATATTACACCAGCAGGAATAATGAAAATATTACACCAGTAGGAATAATGAAAATATTACAGCAGCAGGAATAATGAAAATATTACACCAGCAGGAATAATGAAAATATTACACTAGCTGGATTAATGAAAATATTACAGCAGCAGCAATAATGAATATATTACACCAGCAGGAATAATGAAAATATTACACCAGCAGGAATAATGAAAATATTACAGCAGCAGGAATAAATAAATGATGTAAGAGCAAACATCAGTAAATTCATCAATCTTTGTTATATTGGCAAGCTAAAAAAATTGAGAGAATTATAGTTAAATGGTCCTATGTAAAAGTTGCCTTTCATTAGAAAGAGAAAGTGAATGATTCTACTTGATATTACTTGTCTGTTGTGAGATAAAAGTTGGTTTTGTGTTTTATATTGGTTTGATATACATTCCATCATTTACAGTGTAAAATATTGTACATATCCATCTGTTATAGGATGTAAGAGTCCATCACAATGTTACAAATGTGATCTTTGACAGTATCATCCATCTTTTCAGGTGTGATGTTAAACACTGACACACTCACCATTACAGGTGTGAGGTTTGACACTGTCACACTCACCAGTACAGGTGTGATGTTTGACACTGTCACACTCACCAGTACAGGTGTGATGTTAAACAGTGACACACTCACCATTACAGGTGTGAGGTTTGACACTGTCACACTCACAATTACAGGTGTGATGTTTGACATTGTCATTCACCATTACAAGTGTGAGGTTTGACACTGTCACACTCACAATTACAGGTGTGATGTTTGACATTGTCATTCACTATTACAGGTGTGTTATTTGACAGTGTCACTCACCATTACAAATGTAATGTTTGACAGCGTCAATCATGATTACAGGTGAGATGTTTGACAGTGACACACTAACAGTACATAAGTATATTCGAAAGTGTCATCCACCTTACAGGTATGATGTTTGGCAGTGTCATTCACTATTACTGGTGTAATGTTTGGCGTTTCACACTCATCATAACAGGTGTGGTGTTTTACAGCATCACACTTACCATTTCATGAGTGATGTTTGACAGTGTCATTCAAAAATACACATATGATGTTTGACAGTGTCACACTCACAAGAACAAGTGTGATTTTGACAGTGTCATCCACCATTTCAGGTGTGATGTTTGACAGCGTCATCCATCCTTACAGGTACGTTGTTTGAGATAGTCACACTCACTATTTCAGGTGTGTTCTTTTACAGTGTCAGAATCACACTCACCATGAAGTTAGTGTTACAGGTGTGATGTTTTCACACTCACCATTAAGTTAGCGTTACAGGTGTGATGTTTGACGAGACCTCCTCCAAGGATGATCATTCCTGTGTTTATAGAATAAACAGCCTGGTTGTTCATTCTCCTGATATCTGTAATCAAAACACTGGTTATTAAAGCATGACCTAGTTAGGTACATGTATGATTAAATATCACTTCTGGCACCTACACTTTATATCTGTTAAAGAGAAATTGTTGTTTATCATCTCATAAATGCCATCAGAAAGTGCTGAAAATTTGAATTCCAATAAAAGATGAGAAGAAAAAATGAGGATAACAAAAGAAATAAGCAGATATAAGCATTGAATTGAATTGCATTAAGTTGATATGACATGTTTCATGGAATTTGCATCTGTTCAGTTGGCATTCATAAGCCCATGAATGCCACCTACAAGCAGTTCAATGCTTAAATAAGAGACATACCGCATAACAAGTCTACATGTATGTCTGTACAAAAATTGACACCTGAAGCAATAAATTTCACCAATAATACAAAGTTCTCATTTCTTTTTATTTTGTTCTTACACAATTAAGTATAAAATGTATTTATGAACAAATCAGGAATTTGATGGCTCACCAAAATTTGAGTTTTTTTACATTATATGAAAACAATCAAGGTTCTTTATTTCTCATTCAAACAAACAGCATGCAAGTTGAAAATGAAAAACTTGTGACAAATTTAATTGACCCAAACAGGGAAAATAAAATGTTGGAAATGTTGATACACAAAACAGTTATAATAAGACTCTGATTTTATAATTGAAACAGAATTAGTCAATCACAATAAAATTTTGTAAAACTTTTATTCTTAACCAGTGCTAAGACCACATATAGCAGTAGATACACCACTTGTTATAAACTTTTATAAAGAAATACATCTAGAAAAAAATACAATTGTACATGTGTTAAAATTCTTTTGGAACAATATTATACCTCAGTGGGCTTATTACCAGGCATAGATTTATTGATGGAATCTTGCTAGATACATCAATACATATTTATCACATAATCTGCAAATTTACTGTTGTAATATTTTTTGTGTACCTGTCTCTAGTGTAATATATCCTGAAGTGTTTTTCATTGAGTGTGCCAGTCAGAAATTGGTTGTGATGTCTTAAAATGGACACTGATGTACATGTAGCCACAAAATGGCTACCTCAATTTGATTTTGTCCTCTGCATTTTTATTTGAAACCCAGTGAAAATGTTTCTTTCCATGTCTAACTGATTAAATGTACAGTATATCTTAACTTTGTGTCTATTTCATATGAGATTTTTTTGTCTCAAGGTTTTAAATTTTGTCTGCCAAGGTTCGCAAAATAAAATCTTCTAAGACTTGTTTCATAAAATCTCATATTAAAAAGAAAACTTATTTAAGGTTCTATAAATATGAATATGGCAGAGTATTTTATGGTGGTCTTACCTTCAATGAGATCTATCACTAGGCCCGGCTTTCTGTAGGAATGGAAGTAAAGCATATCTCCGATAGATCCATCAGTGATCGCTGGACAAAACACAGGAATGTTGTTCTACAAGGCATGCAAAGGCATACTATATAGTAGGCAATTCTTGACCATGGTTCAATGTTCATCATTTTGTCCAAGAACAGCGAGGGTGAGTTTAGGATAGGAGTGAAAACTTGTTACATTTATTTAAACAGCATATTTAATCCTCAGAAGGTGAAAAAAACATCAGGCACACTCGTATGTAATGGTAGGTACAAGGGTGAAAATATTCCAATATATACACAAGTATTAAGTGTTCAAAATATTGACAGTTCCAACTTCTTTCACAAAATCTGACACTCTCTATACATATGTATTAAATACAACTGTACAGCCTTAACAATACATAGGAAAATGTATGCCAATTTTCCAGGAAAATACCCTCACTGATTTCCTCACTGTGAATTAGATAGTTTTAGATAATAATGAATGTTTAGTCCATAGCTATATAGACATATCTTTCTTTCCCGTAAAAGACAGATAAAGAAATAAAAAATAATTAAGTGCACTATTTACTAAGCTCAATTATGGCACAACTGTCATATCCCAGAAAAAAAGTTAAGATCACAAACTGACCTCAAGATCACTTGCCGACCTTGTAAATATCTTCCACCTTTGAATATCTTTTACGACTTGCACATTGAATCCAACTACAGTAAGTCTATACTAAACTGATGTGAACTCATCTGATCTCATAGTTGTGAGATATTCATCCTTCTTTACACATAGATGTAGATAACTTTGATAAAGAAAACTTATTTAAAGGATTACCTTGTAAGCCCAGTAGTAGACAGAATCTGGGTTGTCAATCTCCTTGCCAAGTCGAGCAATAAATTTGGATGGAAACCACAAAGTTCCCTTTAAAAACATAAAAACAATGCATGTAAATGATAAATAGTTAAAAATTTTAAATATAAGTCACATTTTTTTTGTATACTATTTATTCCCAAAATCAAATGCAGTACTTTTATTTAAAACCATGAATTTTGACCTATCGGAAAATATATTATTTCATAGTATCAAATGTAGAAAATCAAATTGAAATATTTTTCAAAACAGAAGTTTATGTCAAAGTTACACAATGTCAACTACTGAAGTATTACACACACTTTACCTCTTCTTGTTGTTCCTTCAACATGACATCCAGTTTAGGCATTAGCCAGTCTTCAAACAGGCCGTAATTGTCGTTAGGTACAAGCAAGTTTCCAATTCTGTTGATGCCTTTCTCTCTGAGCTCCTTACCCTTGAGACTAAAGTCTCCTATGTATGTCGGAGCTAAACACTTGATTAAATCTTCTTCTATTCCTCCAGCTGTGGTAACTATGCAATCAACCTGTCAAAGAAATATCAGTATTTTTATGTGTTATACCAGCAAAGCTTTTGAGTTCTAATAGATCTGATGAATTATTGTAAATTCATGTACACTCAGACAAGTACTACTAACACTTAAACTACTGCATCCTCTAGATTCACTGTACCAGTAATTTTATTACATTTTGACAGAAATTGAGCTAAAAGTCAATCTAAATATTTGTTTGTAAATTTGAAAAGAAATTCAACTGACATTTACCACATCAAACCCTCTAATGTACGTCCAAACACTTAAAAAAATGATTTCAAAAATGTTTATGAAATAGGTGATTGACAAATTTTACTTTGTTCATTTCAATATGTAGTCATTTGAATGGAATGACAATCTGATTTATTTTTGTTAACATTTTAAAAAGGAGTAAAGGAACTTTTATCACCATTCATTCATATAGTTTTGCTAAGGTACTTAGGGATTGTCTCCCTTTTTAAATTTGAAATCACAGTACATGTAAGTAAAAATTTATTCACTTTTTTTTTTCGGACAGACAAGGTACTGTTGCAGCGTGAAACATCTAAAAAAACCTACCCCTCCACCCTCTTCCCTCCTTCAAAAAGACAGAAATTCAATATGCCTGATGCTATACTACAACGTTTCTATCACAAACAATATAAAGCTAAATTAAGTTTCACTACTCCAGATGTAGCCCGTTTACTTTTTCTACTTTTACGGACAGCCAATATAGTTTTATAGGATAAACTTTTGTACAACATACAATGTGTATGTATATTACAAGTTTTCAAATCTCCAACAACACAATTTTTTACATTTATCTTTGACTAAATTCCATCAAACTGAACCCTTCAAGGATATTACTACTTAAACCATGGATATCATTATATATAGGTTTACCATGTTGTTCTGTACAAGGTATTTGAATACCTCCCTGACACCTGATGATATGAGGTTGGAGGTGTAGCTAAGAAAGATGGTACAGTTGGATCTTTTCCGTCCTACAGGATTCAAGTTGATCTCCTCTTGTCTATCCAGTGGAATAGGTTCCATCTTCTTATCAATCTGTTACATGAAAATCTTTTTCAGCTTCATCATTTTAATATGATTTTCAAATGTTGTCAAATGACCTTGAAATGATGTCATATTATAGATTTCAGAATATTTATGATTAATCCACAATGATGAAAATAACAAGCTGAGGACCAGCTCTCTAACATTTCTATAAAGTCATAAAAAAAAAGTTCTGACACAAACATTTTTAGAATGTAAATAACCAGAATACGGTATACTTGACATTTTCACCCTAACAAGGAACATATTCGCCACTTTTTGAATTTGCTCTGAATTTATCTATTTATTTTTTCATTGAATGTAAAACTCAATTCTGAATTTTTTATACAGCTGCACTCAGCACACTTGGATTCATCAAGCTCCCCAAACGTCTATTCAACTCCTACCCAACCCAACCGAGTTTGAAAAGGTAATCAGAGGTGAAATAAAGAACTCTTCACTAATCCGTACAAATGTTCAGAGTTATTATTAGTCCCCATTCAAATAAACATCAGAGTTACACAATGTCTGTTTTACAGTTCCTCAATAAAACAACACAGCTGAAATTGAGATTAGAAAACAGTAGACATGTTTTTTATCTGACATTCCTCACACTGCCTACAGTTGCCTATGTACAATGGTTTATAAATGTTACAATTCTGTTGAAATTTCCGTCTTCATTTTAAATATGTCATATCTGAAAACGGCAAAAATGGTGAAAATTAAAGAGGCCTGCGGATACAAATTTCTAGGAATACATTATTAGTTAATCAACTTCTATTCTGAACTAGGTTTATGAAATTAATCACCACAATTGTTTTTCTTATTTAGCTCATAAGACATGTATATTTGACAATCTGAAAAACACTAAATATATCGTGCATAATGTATTTGTTTTACTTTAATTAGTCATGTCTAGCAAGGTTGTCCATTACTCTACTGTCTAGTGTAAGAAACATAAAAATAATATTATATAAGAGATTATATCAAGTTTTAGTTTTTAAGAATTAATGGGATGACTTGAAATACTGAAATCTATATACACTATATAGCCTGCATCTACATGTAGCAACCATCTTGTTTTATTCATCAGTATAAAAAAGTGGCCAAATAGGCCTGTATCACACACATTTCATTCAATGGTTTTTATAAATGCATTAACATTTCGCATCTTTAACATATTGAAAGTTTAAGTTCTTGAGAAGAAGTTGTTTAAAGGTTTAACAAATTTTACCCCTGTCACCTATACATGTGTTAAGGTCTTTTCTTTTTTGCAAACTGTTATTTGTTTCATCCCAGGAAGCTTCAAGCTGAACATCATTATTCTAAGCCTTTTTGAATACAGAGAATTTTCTTTTAAATGGGAAAGTTGATGCCAAGAGAAAGGCTGACTGCTGCATTATAGCATAAACTTACCTAAAGGCTATAGATGAACTAAATGTCTAGTCACATTAACCAGAAGCAATAGATATATATATCCAGCCAGTAATTCATGAGACTAACAGAAAATTTCCCATCATAAGTTATCCAATGGTCTCACAATATTGGAACCTTTGCTGGCATCAGAAGTGTAGGTTGTATTACCTGTACATTTTGTATAGAACTACATGCACATGAACAGTAATGTAAACTGCCCAGCATTAAGAGCTCATGCAAGTGGGGCCCAGCATCTAACTTAAATTAAAAGGTTAGCTTAATTTACAAGGACCGCCCAAACAGTATGTAATGATTATTCTACAGAGCAGAAATAAACAATGTAGGCATTATGACTACATCTGTAAGCACATGCATGTATTTATCCTGCAACTAGTGCTGCCATTGTCAGTATAAGGCTGTCAGATGTATTTCAGCTGTAATCAACAGTGATGGAAAACAGCTGTATTTTAGCACATGCGTTAATTCAACATAATTACTTTCTGAAATTATTCAAAAAGTATGTTTAATAATAAAAATTACAGTTGAAATAAGCAATTTTATATGTTGTAATGTACAAGGTTATTTACAGCCATTCATAAAATCGCAGTCATATTCACTGAAGTTTGGACCTATATTTCTACACAGAACAATCATTTTTGCGTAGGTCATCAGGCAAAATTCAGTGTAATGTCAAAGTCAGGTAAACATTGATTGAACAACAAAAACTGTTTTAAGTTGTAATTTTCTGATTTTCAATCAATGTTGTAGGATAAACAGAATACATGTATTCTCATTATAGTCACTGAGGACTAGAAATGGATATGGTGATGGGGGTCACCACAAGTCATTAGTAAATTACCACGACTGTCTATTGGGAATGAACATAGCTAAATTATCTACTGGAAATATGCTGAGTGCTAAGGTGGCTAATTAACTACTTACAATATATAGTAGACTTTATGTTATACTGTTTTAAGATTCAGTTTCATAGAACCACAGGTAAATAAATAATTTACAGACGAAAGAATAAGATTTATAACTTTGTCATTACAAATATAAATTTATGATTAAATTTACAAATGCATACCATCTTATTAATTTCTTTTACAGCTAATCCAAAATTGGAGGCTTGAAATCCTGAGCAAGCATATGTCTGGAGGAGCTCATGGTAGTTAATACCCTTGTTAAAATCGTAACCTTTGACCTTAGGGACAGAATCTGGAATTTGTTGTGTACATTTGACCAACACAGCATCAGTTGCCATGGAAGGCGGCGCAGCAACCTGATCTAGAAACACAATCAATGTTGGTACATTTTGTAAGACACAACCACAAACCATACTTACATTTCTAAGCCAAATTTTGATAAGGATACTACAACAATATACTTTCAGTTTCATCCATTCACAATTTAATTATAACAGTGTAACAGAAGATGGTGTAGCCATGGTCTTACAAATTCTTAAAACAGTGTATAATCTTATGGAAATTGTCTGAAAATGAACAACTCATCTGTAAACATTACCAGAACATGACCTCATGATGGAATACTGTTCTTACTACCCAGTATACCCTGGTAATACATCTTTAAAAGTATGACAACATTAATCTATTCATCTTGGCAATTTTACAAGTATTCAGATGATTTTTTTTAAAAGATGCAGACAGAAGTTTGTACTTTTTTGCTAATTTTCAAAGACAAGATTTACTTCAGCTCATTCAATGTGCATGTCCCCACCCCTAAATAAAACGAAAGAGAAACAACTACCATGTGAAAAAGTTTTCTAGATGGATGACATAAATTGATTTACCTGATCCTAACGTCGACATCTCCGTTGCTGAATGCTCTGAGGTTTCTGTTGGAAATGGGTCAAGGTGTAGCTTGTGTCTCTGTGATGCTATATCTAAATCTGGATCTGGCTTAAAAAATTTCTGTTTTAGTACAGCTAGGGCCTCATCGTCTTACAGGTATGCTGTAATATAAATAGAAATATTTAAAACTTTTAAGGCTGACTGGTTGTCAAGGTGATTATATAGTGTTGTATGGTTGACAGCAGCTACCAGTAATTAGAATGCATGCTCATGATAATCATATACACACATATTGTCTGTTGACAGACCAGGAAAACTTTTTTTTTTGGAGGGGGATGACTTAAAAATAGACTACAAAATATACTTCAATGGATTAGTTATTATATTACACATAAAATATGACAGTTTTACTGGAGTTGAAGAATAAGTAAAGAAACATCTGAAGTTTAAAAAAAATCTAAATTCAAAATATTTGAAAGATATTTTTATTGTTGACCTTAATCTAAACAGGGACGTAGATAACTGTTATCTACGTCCCTGATCTAAATCAAACTTTTATTCAAAAATTTTCAATCCAATATGACTTACTTACAGTGCAGGTGTTGGGAGCTTTTGAAATACTTGCTCAGTTAGAAAAATGGTTTGTGAGTGATCAACTTTAAAATGAAAATGAAGACAAAGAAACCGAGAGAAACTTATGTTTTGGTACACTAATCATAATATGTTACTCCTCATGATGAATTCGGTACAATTTACAGAGGATCTGTCTCCTGTAATAACTTTTATTTACATATTGTATAACTTGAAACTAATTTTGATTAACAGTTATTGAACATTATTATCATTAGTAATTATCCGTACTATTTGGAGACTGACATTAGATTTGCTAATTCTTTAATGCTGATGTAAGTATAATGTAAATAAAAGTTCTTTTGTGGCAGAAGCAAATGTTCCACAGTCCTAACAGTAGGGACTATTTTGAGCATCTTTAATTACAAATATCAGTATTTGCCTTTACCAAACTATCAATATTGAATGAAATGGCAAAAGCAAAAACATATAATTATTTATTACTGTTTGACAATTTTTCCTTTGATGCCTTGGGTTCAAGATCCTAAACTGTATGTGCATCACCAAATTACAACACATCAGAGCAGACTGCAGTCAGTTTCCCTAGATTTTCAAGTCTTTTATCACATTTATACAAGCATTTCTTGGTTATTGTTGCATGTGTACGACCATCAACTCCAGTTAAAAACTTGTCTATCTCAATATCGTTGAATTAATCCCATACCTGATGAGTATCCTGAAAGTTTATCTACCTAAAGAAAACAGGTTTTGTAATCAGTGTTCCATACCTGTGATTAATGAATACTAAGCATATACAGCACATTGACTTTCCACTTTTGTAAAACCTTGTCTTTTTACCTGTGTCAAAATAAGTCATAGCTGACACAAGCTGTTGGTCTGTGACCAGTGGTTTTATTGGCAAATCACTGCAAGTTCTGCAGATATTTATCCCATTGAAACAGTTGTAGCCTTTTTATAACTTTGTCTTTTAAAAAATCTACAAAGCACATGATAACTGATCCAAGACCGTAGTATATGCAAACTGTTATGGGCCATCAGCCTCAGTAAACTGAGCTTGTATGCAGAAGAAGTATGATAAAAGTAAGAAAATGCATACAAGACAACAAGTATGACAACATAATCCCCTGTAAATTCTTCAACAAAAGTTCCTGAATTCTTGAACATGTCTAGTTTATGAGCAATTTTCTTAAATATTAAATGGCCCAAGTTCAACGATTTAAGAATGGAAGAGTTTGAACTTGTCCAAGCTTCAGGATTTCTTCAATGACTCATGAAAACTTCTTGAACAATACAGCAAGACATTTTCATGGGTGACGTTTTACTTATTGCTTGGTTTTTAATCTTAATTGATTACTGTGTCAACACAAGGTTACCATCAATGATCATTGGTTAATATTGATAATGAAAAATTACACTTATATCGAGGCACCAACAAGAGCTGAAGATTCATGCAAATCACGTTATATTTAAACGAGAAGCCCATTGGCCCAAATGGTCATCTGGCTACAAAAGCTTTCAGCAGGGAGAAGGGTCGTTTTTCTACTTTGAATGTAATCTTACTAAGAAGCTGTTTTCTTGAGAAGTAGGTAACTGTAACAAGTGTAACCTTTTTTTTAACAGTAAAGTTGGAGCTCAATCCAACCTGTGAAACTTGAAAAGAAGTTGAAATAGGTGTTGCACAGGAAAACCATGATTGCACAATCATGTTACCAAATGGCCTCCCTGGCTGATGTATCAAAGTTTTGACAAGGTTGAAAAATAACAACACGTTGTTGGCTACCTTTCCTTAACATTCCCACCAATTTTTAGCTCAATGGAACTGGAGAAGAAGTTTACAATGTTTTTCAATATGGCGACCATGGCAGCCATCTTGGATTTCAAACATACCCGAAAAATAACAACACTTGGTCAGGACCATTTTGCAATCATTTCATGCAAGTTTGAGTTCAATTTCACTGGTGGTACTTTAGAAAAAGTTTGAAATTAAACTTTTCCATGGTCGAGTAGCACTGTGGTAATACTCACTTTTCACCTATATAGAGACATCAAGGGTTAAATTCCCCAAACTATGTGTAAAAATATAAGGTCATATATCCTACCACATGGGTTTTCCCTGGGTATTCTGGTTTTCTCCCATCTATCAAGGCCAACAACAGTGATTAATATCAGCTGATAAGTTCAGTACTTTTTGTAGGATTTTTTTAGGCGAGTCTACGGCACCATTACTAATACTATTACTAAGAGATATAGTGTGTCCTCAGAATTTGAGGGAGTCCCACTGAAAAATCCTGAGTCCAGAACTCAAATATTTCAGACCCAGATATCACTAAGCTTGTTTCACAATTGTTGTAAAACAAATAAAGTTTATATCCTAACTATTGGGAACTTAGATTTATGTGAAACATATATATATATATATATATATATATATATATATATATATGTGTTTAATATAATCATGAAAATATATAAGTTTATCCTTGGCTGTCTATAACCTGTAGGCTGGCATTAACATGCCAGTGGAGTGCTCTGGTTTGAATGACTGCAGAAGGCATTTCATAGTGGATGCTCTTTACACTGTCTGCCATTTAATCTGGGTCCCATTCAATAGGCCGAGTGTTAAAGATTAGTATTCTGTTAACCACACTACATACTACATTTATTTTAATAAATCATGCCAGTGTTTTACTATCAAATGGTTATAGATGTGATTGACATTTAAGTGAACAGTAGAGAGAGTATAACAACATGTTTTTAAATTTGCATAGATTGAAATTAAATTGTAAGCAATATGTGTGACAGACACATGGTGTCAGGGAAAGCTCAACTGGAATAGAGGGTGTTTTTGGTGCGTGTGTTGGGGTGGGGTAGACTAGTGTGGTGAAGGGTAAATTTACTTTGTCAAGAATATTTTGTTGTAGGTGTGTAATGATAATATTTGAATTTAGTTATACATGTATGTAAATGTATTGACAATTGCGTTCATTTGTTGTTGTTGGTTTTTGAAAAAATAGTTGAATCCATTTTGCAATATTTGCCTTATGAAGTATTTATCAGTTTTAATGTTGTTATAAAGCTACATGTCAACAGAATATTGTGTTTTATGTGTGAGATGACAACAGAGTATCAATGAAAGCAAATATTCTGTATAATCAGTCCAGCAATAAATAAATTGAATTTCAGATTAACATCAATGTAACACTTTGCTTTGTCTGCCAGTACAATTTATATATATATATATATATGTAACCCTGGTAAAATACTAGCCGCAATATACCACTCGGCTAGAGAGAACTTCTCTTTAGCTCAATTGGTTGAGCGTCAGACTAGTTAGCCTGGGGTCCCCTGTTAGATTCCTGGCAGAGGCATTGAGATGAAAAATGACCTCTGTTACACTGGCGCCCATGTAGGGACCCGGAAATAGTACTTAGCCATGCCCCACCAGCATCGCTTTAACCCCTGGAAACTCAAGGACGAGTTATTTCGTGAAGGGGGAGTATGTAAACCTGGTAAAATACTAGCCGCAATGTACCACTTGGCTAGAGAGAACTCTTTAGCTCGATTGGTTGAGCGTCAGACTAGTAAGCCAGGGGTCCCGGATTTGATTCCTGGCAGAGGCATTGAGATGAAAAATAACCTCTGTTACATATATGTCCCTTGATTCAGTCTGAAACCTTTGTTTCTGCAATGTAGTAAATGCTGCATACCTGGTACTTTTTAGGATTTGCCTTTTTTCAATTCATGATGTCACCGAGATAAATATTTAGATGTATTGTTCACAGTTAGAATAGTACAGCACTAATGAGTATGATGATTTGTAGAGTTGTATAAACGAAACATTTCTGTGTCTAAAATGATAATTCAATATCAATTTTCATATTTATCGGGTTGTTATGCTGTCATCAGTATTTACATCAGTACGAATGTAAATTTCAATTAAATAATCATTTTAGCGACAGATTTTTCAGTTCGGTCGAAGTGTTGCACAGTTCATAATTCAAATGAATCATTTGTGTTGGTACACGCTTGTATTACATGTCAGCGTCGTGTGTCAATACACTCACACTTATAACTGGTATTAACTAGTATCCTCCTTTGTGTGGATGAGCTTCATCAGCAGAACTTAACAGGTCAACATCAATGGCATACCAAGGAATGGCAAAAAGAAAAGAAAAACCCGTTCAAAATATCAGGACCTTGAAAGCGTATGTACTATTTCCCTCAAAAAAGTTAACATGAAACAATCGTCTGTCACGTGTACACTTCACTTACATTAACAAGTTCAGCTCGATGACAGTCCTTTCGTTGCGTGTTACAAAATTGAAAGTTATTTAAGGAACTATAAGCAGATGATATAATGCATCCAACCAGTCGATGTACTGTGTCGCGAAATGCATAGAGTACTCGTGTATATTGTAGTGTCGAGACGATGTGCAACATCCGTCAACAATCAGGGTACCAGAGACGCTTTTAAATTTCTTTCAGCATATGCAGTACAGCTTCAGTTAACAGATTAATGATAGGCTGGTTTTAGAAATTTTAAAATGGTCATTTCAGTTTATAGTTCATCATTTAAATTAATTTATCATTTATATCAACATGTACGATTTAAACATTGATATAATTTCTGTATAAAAAAAATCCGGAAATAAGTGCAACTTTCCGCATAAAGTACTAGGAAACCATTATAAACTTCCGTTTATCGATTGTTTTTATAAAAATCATATCAAGAAGTGACAAAGAGCTCCTCTACGGCATGTATGATAAAAAACAGTAAGTTCCTAAGTGTGATCCGTCTTCTGAAAACAAGATGTTTGTTTGAGTAACCTTTCACACACAAACATGTTTCTTTTGTTGAATGAGAATAGTGCATTCTTTAAATATCTCTGATTGTACTTCATACCGCCGATTTGTTGATCAGGACAAAATCATGAATAAATTATTTAAGATTTATGTTAATGTACTGTAGTTATAATATGTCATTATGGTTGTTTAAGAACTGAACACGGTATCAACATGTCCTTAAAGCGTTGGGTATCTAAACCCTCACTATCATTCCATGTGGCTCCAGTTGTCCGTATATCAGTTGTTAGACAGTCTTAGAAATGAACAATAGTCAATACACATCTGTTTCATTTACTGTTACATGCTTTCAGCATCCAAACATAAAGTACATATATGTCAAGTGAGCACAACGCGGTACATGGTTAACAGTCCAGCCAGTTACATATATACTGCATGTATGTTGTACTGGTTTTGAAGTTAGATGTCGTTTTTTAATTTTCAAACAAGCATATCAGTCAATTTCTTTTCTCTTGAAATCCACACTAGACCAATCAAATTACACGTGTATGCTTTCAATTTTGCCATGAAGTGTTTTCACGGACGCAGAGAGCCTAAATGATGGTAACCCCCAGGACTTGGATCCAGAGTATCAAGGATGGCAATAATGTGAAATTGAAACACATACTTTCAAGTTTTAATCTTTTAAATTTTTGTATGAAAACGATGTCAGCTTTTTAATATGGCACGATATCCAATGTGACACTTCATATATTTGCCAAAAACACAATCATTTCTGTTACTGACATTTGTACAAAATGTTATACACTACACTATATATCTTACTTTGTTCTCCATTAACTATCTGTCTATTACTTGAGAGCATTTTGGTAAAATGTCAGCGGTGAGCATGAATTTAACTGTTTCCTATTTTTAACTACACAATAAGTGATGGAGATTATAAAGCTTGTGATTGTTACAAAAAAAGCCAGGCAAATTAATAGCACTATTGAGTATTTGCATAAAATTGTACAATGTCACATTGGTTATTGGGCCGTGTCAAGAATATGACACCTTTATCTGGGTCAAATATTTAGAACTTTCTGATTCAATTAACAAGTTTATTACACAAATCAGTAACTTTCACTGAAATGTAGGATTATTAACCATACAAATATGTATGTGGTATGTTTATATGCTGGTGTATGTGAATTTCATATGATTAAAATACGACAGTGTGATTTTATAAAACACAAACACAATTTATCACACAAGTAAGGGTCAAACAAATAATTCACCGAAGATGTTCAACTGTGGTTGTAAAGTCTGATTACTCTAAAATGTCCATGTCATAAATGTGACACTTGGGTATCACATGTTTGACACATGATGATATTATAAAGGTAACTTATGTGACACATTGTTTTCTATGTAGGGATAAATACATATCATACATGTATATTTTCCACACTGAAACTTTCTTTAATGGAAATTGTGTTTTAAAGTGCTTTTCTCTTTTTCACTGATTTTCTTCCAAATAAGTAGATTCAGTGGTAAATAGGACCTAAGTTATCAACTTATAACAATTCCTTAATCAACAATTTTGTGTGATTTTTTTATGGTGAGTCTAGAGAAGCATTTTCAAAATTCTGATGAATCCAGTAACATACATAATTTGAGTTAGTCCCATATTAAAAAGAGTTGAGTACAGGACTCAAATATGTGAGTGCCATAAATCACTGTTGATGACATATAGAAACTTACTGTGGTTTTTGAGACTCAAATATTTCAGTTCTGGACTCATGCTTTTCCAGTAGGACTCACCTAAACATTCAGAACCCAGTTCTTGTCTCTATATTACTGGACCCATCAACATTTTTGAAATAGTGCTCTGGAGTCATCAGTAAAAGAATCTACAAATGCTACTGCACTGATGAAGAACACGCATATCAGATAATGGATTTGGAGTTGTACTATATATATATATATATATATATACACATATATAGATATGTAACTCTGCAGATAAAAAGATAAGTTTGTTACTTACTTCATCATGTTTTACATGTGTTTATATCATATGCATCATGCTATAGATCTTTTTAGATAACTTCTGTTAAATATTTAGCAAGCAGTACATTGTTTTTCCCAGTGTTTTTTTTTTCATATTGAATTGGCTCCAAATGAAATCTATGATATTTTGTTATTGAAAGTCTTGGTCGAGATCTTGAAAATATCCAGAAAAAGATAAGGGTCATGGGAGGGGGGGGGGGGGGGGGAAATTTGCAGAGGGTGATACTAGTTAGCAGGTTGGTACATTTAGAGTTTGATACCTGAAAATATCTCTTTTACTCAATTAAGGCCTTTAGCTCATCTGGCCCAAAGGGCCAAGTAAGCTTATGCCATGGCATGTTGTCCATTGTCTGACATCAACTTTTTCCTTAAAACAACTTCTTCACAATAACCAAATGTTTTGATATTTGATGGTATGTTCTTAGGGTAAAGCCCGAAAAAGTCTGAGAAAAGAAATTATCTTGACCTATATTCAAGGTCACAGGGGTTAGATTTGTTAAAACCAAATGGCCTAGAGGCATATTATTTGGCTGGTATGTTCCTAGGATGAAACCCAAGAAAGTTTGTGAGAAGAAATGACTATGTTCAATGTCACAGGGGTCAAATTTGTTAAAACATTTAAATGGCTTCTTCTCATGAACTAAAAGGTTGGTATATGTATAACAGGTGAATGCTGCAGGCCCATTGGGCCTCTTGTTTGATTCCTGTTGGGACACTCACCAGAATGTATATCAGTGCAAGATGGTTGCTATTTAAATGAAATTGTGGAAGGAATCTTTGGAAATCCATCAGAATAATCAGTATAGTTCCTAGTTTTGCATGTCAAATTATGAATTTGTTATTCCAAGATGGCTACCAGAGGCTATTCTAGTAGTTAATGTTAGATTGTGGTGGGTATTTTCATAGAAGCTCTGAACGAAATTTGTTACCTCTATATCTACATAAAGGATCTGTTTGAAGCTTGATAATTATGATAGATAATGGCCCTTTCAAGTTGCATTGTGTGAAGTCTGAAAGCATGAGATTAATGTTTACTTTGTCTGTCAAAGAAATTCTAGGAGTATCAAGCAGTCATGTGGTACATTTATACAACATTGACTTAATACCAGGTATGTATTGATGTACACATGGAAACCTACAGTCTTTATACAAAACAGATATATATATAAGTAAATATGATCTTGTTATAGCATAATGAAACCTTCAACAGTTAAAAATGAATATACCTATGGTACATTATGTTTAAACAGCTTGCAATATCACAGGGAAATCAAATACCATGATAATGAAATTCTAATCAAGATCAATGACTTTGGACTAAGGACGTGTTTACACATATGATATCACAATGGAATGGTACCCAAAGGGTTAGATTGTTTATTAAATGTAGCACAAATAAATCTGATAATTGGTTTTAATCAATTTCGGAGGATTGATCTGTTTCATTACCTTCACTAAGAGATCAATAGATCGTAGAAATCCACCTGGTGAGAAAATCTTAGTCATGTACATTACAGATTTTTAGGTAAAGCAAGAATAGATGCAATCATAATTATTTTGAACCTTTGCTTCTTCTACTAGACAAAATTGTCTTGGAAAAATATATGGTGCTCCCAATAGACAGTGTTTGGGAGAATATCTCTTTGGTATGATTGATTGATAGAGCATAAACCCAGAAATTAAAGATTTCCCAGGTCCATTAGAGAAAAAAATCAAGTAGTCTTTCCCTTTGAATTTTTTTCCGCAGTTGACTTATCATTTCCCATAGGAAACTGCTGGTTTCTATGGATTAATCCTAATAACTAGTCAACTGATTCTGCCGCTCCCTGACCTCCCATCACCCCTTAGAAACTGGTTTTTATGGGGCGGGGAGGAGGGAATGATATGTGATTATATCTGTCACAAATGTTAATCGGTTATTAAATGGTTGAAAGAGTGGTCAGCTGCAGTGTATGCTGTTCTTATATATCGTTTTATATTGACTTTTAGGCTATGTGTACTTCTTGCATTTTTTTGGTTATCAAAGTTTTATGTCTCAAAACATTCCATGTGAAAGTGTTCCTTGTAAATAGTTCTGATAAAGAACTTACCACTATTAGGACAAGAATGGATATGGTTACTTACTTTATGGGTTTTAGAATTTGGTTTATATCAAGTACTCACAACATGCAGATTTATATGAATGTTCAATAAAAGACAGTCAAATTTAACCTGTCTTAAAGGCCACCTGTGTATAACAAGTACCTGTCTAAAAGGACCATTGGCTTAGGTTTGCAATGTAATAAAATCCATAGACATTTAATCTATAAAATCCAATTTTCTGTGCTTCCTGTCCTAGCATTTGATATATTGACAATTTGACTGTATATGACTTTTAAGTTTCTGTCATTGTTTCCTGAATATATAACTAATATTGATATCAAGATGATAGTTTTTATTAGAGTTTTAGTCTGCAGCGATTTTTGTAGAATTTTTTTCTGGCGAGAGCACCATTTCCAAAATTTGATGGCTCTAGATACAGATGGTTCTGAAAATCTGAGTGAGACCCACAGAAAATTATGAGTCAAGGAATCAAATGTTCAAGTCCCAAAAATCACTGTCTGTATTTATTTCCTGTGTAATTCAAGAATAGGAATTCTCTAGCCTCTAACCTTTATACACTGTACATGTATGTATGCAAACCAAGTTAGTAGTTTTCTTTTTTGTGTCTTCCAGGCATGGACGCCAGGAAAAGGAACTACAATACTGGGTGGTTGAATAATAACATTATGGAAGTAGGGAATAACTTTGATGTTAAAGAAGAACCATTTAATCCAGATGAAGATGAACCAGATGATTTGCCTTTAAATGAAGATGAAAATTACGAAAATTTCGTTGAAAATGAAGAACATAAGTCCCAATCCAAAGGAGGCAACAATGTCATGTCTCTTGTGCAGCTGACAACTCCTCCTTCATGTAAACAAAACCGCATTGTAGGAGCTCAAGGAAAGTGGAAAATTGCTAAAGAAAAGAAACAATATAACTGTAAAACATGCAAGTATAAATTCACCAGTAAAACATGGCTTATCAAACATGAAAGGATGCATGAAAATATGGATAACAAAGCCAAACTGTATAAATGTGAAATTTGTAGGAAGGAATTTGCTCAGAAGATAATCTACCATGACCATATGGCAGCACATGCAGGGAAAAGACCCTATGTATGTGATAGATGTGGCATGGACTTCACATGGTATAGAGCCTTCTACAGACACCAGCAGCATCACAAGACAGGTGGTAAAGATTTCTCCTGTCATCTATGTCAAAGAAGATTCAATAATAATTGGAATCTCTCTAGACACCTTAAAGACATACATCAGTCAAAACAAACATTTAAATGTGGTTTATGTGAAGAACTCTTTGAAAAGAAAAACTTGTACCAGATGCACATGAAAGCTCATGATCGAGCGGAAAGAGACAGAAGGAAAAAAATTGGTATCGTAAGTGAAAGGGTGAAACAAAAACATTTAAAACTTTCAAAAGTAGTTCGTACTATGATGCAGTCCCAATTGGAAAACAAAAACAAAGTAATTGATAATGGGGATATCATGTCTAATAATGACAACATTTTAGCCTCAGAATTGATAGAAAAGATCTCGGAGAACATAGGTGAAGAGGATACAAATGTTCCTTGTGATGTAGACAATAATATTGAAATTTCTCAAAAAATATCTGAACCTGAAAGTGCAGCTGACGACTGTTTTGTTGATGCAGCTGCTACCAATGGAAGCAGACATACAGATATTGTCATAAAGCCTTCAATAGTAAGAAATCAAAAGCTAAGTCGTCAACTGTTTCCTTGTGATATTTGCGGAAAACATGTTTATCATTTGAATGTTCACTTGCGAATCCACAGTGGTGAGAAGCCATTTACATGTTGCTTATGCGACAAAGATTTTGCTCAACGAGAGGCACTGAAAATTCATTACAGGTCTCATACAGGGGAGAAACCTTTCGCCTGCAATACATGTGGTAAAAGATTTGCAACCAGAGGCCTGCAAAAGGATCACGCTTTAGCTCATAAAGGGGACAAGCCCTACCAGTGCAATGTCTGTGATGCTCGGTTCTCATGGAGAGGCGCTCTCAGTAGACATAAGCAACTTCATTCAACTGGACCTAAACCACACGCATGTTCTGTTTGCACTTTCGAATGTAGGAGAAAGCATGATCTTTTAAAGCATGAAAAGACACATTTGTATGACAATAATCGTTATAAGTGTGATTTTGAAAATTGTACAGCTGTTTTCTCTAACAAGAAACACTTTATAAAACACAAAAAGATACATAAAGGTTCCAGATTGTATGAGTCACGCCCAGACGTCCAAATTATCAAAATGCAAACGGCCAAGTATGCTGACAACACCGAACAAATTGAATCCAGCATAAATGATATGGCAGACACAGTTGAAATAAAAGAAGAACCATTTGAAGATTGTGTGGATGATAATAACGCTGCTCTTGACAGAAATAAGTCCGGTACAGCTAGTATATATATAAGAAGAAAAGAAGGCCAGGTAGAGACGTTGGTAACCAACGCAATAGAAACACATCCAGATTCTGGCAAGCTTCGTTATACCAGAGGGGAAAAATTGCATTTAAATCCTGACTTGCAACTTTTGCTAAGCAAGAAGATTAATGAGAAGAAACACATCCAAACGCGTATTACTGACACTCGGTCATCATGCGAATCTTTAAAATCAAATTTTGAAAGTCACATACCCCTGAAACAAACACCAAGTGCTCATGTGGTCGATCACTTCAACTATAGGAAAAATCAGGTGACAGTCTCGATGGATGCCGTTATCGAAAATGATTGTGAGGACACGAAGATCTTTGACGACCCCATATCTAGCAACAATATAGTCGGTTGTGAAGTTTGTGGTAAATCTTTGAACATATCTTACTACCATATTCATGTGCGAAAACATGTTGAAGAAATGGCCCACAAATGTGACATATGTAAAAAGTCGTTCTCAAGGAAAACAGACCTGATAGTACATTCCAGGGTTCATACAAATATCAGACCGTTTAAATGTACGATTTGTCCCAAGGCATTCAAAGTTAAAAGTTTATTGGAAGATCATGTCAGATCGCATGATGGAATTAAACCGTATGTATGTAGTCTTTGTGATGCATCATTTGCATGGCGGTGTGCGTTACATCGTCATGTAAAGACACACTCTATCAACAAACCATTCCAGTGTGAGGTTTGCGGGAAAGATTTTCGTCGTCGGGGAGATTGGGCAGCGCATATTCAGAAGAAAACTTGTAAATATGTTAAGTCGATCATTTACAAATGTAACGACTGTCAAGCTGTTTTTGCGAATTTGGAAACGCTAGTGTATCACAATGATAAACATCACAAGCAAATTTCGGATTCGCACAGTGAGTCACCAACAGTATTAAACACTTCTTCAGAGATCACAAAAGAATTAAAATCAGAATATTTGTCGCCAGCACCGAGTGAAGATTCCTCAACAATGTTTGATAACACGACTGTGCCAGAAGAAAGTGAGTCAGTGGATGAACAAACATGTAAAGACGATGTATTAGCTTCTAAAACGACCGCAAAAAATGTGATTAATCCACACAATCAGTTCTCGTTGTTGAGTGACACTGAAAATAAGGATGATCCCTGTACATTGGCGAAGGAAGCCGAAGATAGAATAAAAAAGGATATTCCATCTTCGGAAAAATCAGTCATCCCCATCAAGAAAGAATGTGAAGATAATGATTCAGTGGTTATCTCAGGCGATATGAATTCTGTTGATTTAACATATGAAAATTTTCCTGCTCAGCAAATCGGTAAACAAAATCAGGACCATGATGATGACGTAGCGTTACGCTCGAACAAAAACGCTTGTATCAACTGGTCAGGATCTAATCTACAAATAGAACCGTCCTGTTTGAACCAATCCTCTCCTATCACCGATGTTAACGAAGAAAAACTGAAGTGTAAAATATGTGGTAGAAGCTTCGTTTCTTCGATAGGGTTGAAGGTTCACTTTCGGATTCATTCAAAAGATGCTATGGATATATATGCACTTCATTTTCGTCCAGATGAAATGATGACAAAATCACAAAGGGAAAAGGAAGCAAGAAATTTGAAATACAAATGTAAACTTTGTGAAAAAACGTTTCCATTTGCCAGTGGGTTGAGGATTCATATGATGGCACATTCCGGCAAACTTCCATACACTTGTAAAATCTGTGGGAAGCGTTTTCCATATTTGGAATCTGTTAAATCCCACATGCGGCTCCATACAGGTGAGCGACCATTCACCTGTGATATATGCGGAAAGTCATTTGCATATCGTCACAATCATGATGATCATTACAGAACCCATACTGGTGACAAACCTTACAAATGTGACCGCTGTGATTCCGCATTTACCTGGAAGAGTGCTTTGCATAGACACCATAAGACACACAGTCTGGAAACCTTGGAGGTGTGTACCATATGTAAAGCCAAATTCAAAAACGGAGGACAACTTGTGAGACATATGAACAGGTTTCATAGCAGTCTAGTATGAAACATGTAATTAATGATTTGTATACATGTAGGTAGCACTCTAAATTTTGAAATTTATACATATTGTAATGATATGTATCATTTGAAATATATCAAGAGATACATTTTTTTTGCATATTTTTGCTGGTCGGAGGCATATAGTGTCACCCATGAAGGTCATTTAGTCTCTTATGTCATCACTTAATTTCCGCGCATGTGCGTTATAATAGATACAGATATTGTAATTTTGTAAGTAGTTGTATGAAGATAACATATATGCTTCGTTCTAATTTGAATATGGCCGACTTATTTTTTGCCGCGTTATGGTAATTTAATTCTAAGAAATTCATTCAAAATTTTCATTAAAATGGTAAGACCAGAATTAGAGAGCCTTGCTTAACTCCAGTGGGAATTGATAACGCTTCTCAACAAAGCTTCTGAAAAGTTCCAAGAGAGGGCATTGGTATCGCTCCGACATATCCAGTTCATGGAAGTTTTGTAAACAGCTTTCCAATTTACTGTGACCACCACATGAAAATTTAATTTAAAAATTCTGACTGAAGCTACAGCTATCGTGTATCTTTTTATTGTTTTGTTTTTTGTGTTTTTTTTGTGGGGGTTGTTAATGTATATGTTGTACATAAGCCGTCTTTTTCTAATTTATACAATCAATATCACATGATAAAAATCTATTATGACATAGTATGTCAACGATATTATAATTCGCGTTTTGGTTCTGAGAGCTCTGCTAAGTAGTTGATAACCATTGCTAGAAGTTGGTGTAGATAAATGACGATACTGTTAAATAACCAAACCGACAAACAGAATTAAATCATGCATTACTTATGCAATTTCGATATTAAAAATTAGGTAATTATATAAAAGTATAGTTTCATTGTCTAAATTTGTCATATTCAGCTTTTATTATGACCGGACTGATGTTTAAGGTAATTTTTTCATGCTTTGAATGACATATTTTCATGACTTTGTGTCGTAACTTGTTATCTATATTATAAAAGACTTTCACAGGTTTGTAAATGATGTGTACCGAAACTTAAGGACACAACAACTCCATTGAGTTGGATCCTCATTCAATTTCACAGAAAACGTATCGTGCATCATGGGTCGCATCAGCCAAATGCACCGTAAACTTCGAACGCAAAAGACCTGTAGTTTATCAAACTAGATGTTTGTCATATAGCTTGCTAGATCATGAGAGATTTTTATTGAAATAAACTGTCTCAACTTTAAACATAGCTGCAATAGGAAATGTTTTTTAATACATAAAACGTGTGCTCATTGTTATTTGGAAATATGTCAAATGTTTGCTTGATAAAGTACATGTAAAACTTAGTTCTGTCAAATTCGTTTTTTACTGACCTTAAACCATGATAACGTTTAAATTGTTGCTTTCTCTATAGAAAGATTTTTCAAGTAGATTACGTGCTCTATATATCGGCTATCCCAAAGTCAAGGTCAAAGTGACAACCAATGGTGTTTACATGTACATTACATGCTATATATATATAGACAGTCCCAATGTCAAAGTCACAATGACCACCGGTTTTTTTTTCAAGTACCTTACATGCTATATTCATAGGCAATCCCAAAGTCAAGGTCAAAGTGACTATCGTTGCTCTTTTTGTGACGATTTCGCTGGATAAAGTATCTTATTGGATGCTGTTCTCTCAGGAACATAAAAATGATCGACCATTTATGCTCATAAGCTTCTTAGTTTTATTTAACGCTTCTGTTTTTATATGAGAAGGGAATTTTGGTAGCTTGGTATGTCGATATCATTATTATAATTACATTGGTTACGTGTTCGATATAATATATAGGGCTTTATATACAATCATGCATTCCTTGACTTTTATTTCTTTGTTTCTTTGTTTTTGTTATTTCTTTTCTACAAGAAAATGGAGATTTATTACTGTATATTATGATTTTCAAATTGTGTATGTTTACATTTATGTGTACCGAGTAAAATATTGTTAAGGTTTAATATGAGCTTACGTTCAGGTGATTTTGTATTTGGAACATGTTTCTACATACATTTCCAATGAATCACCGGTGTTTACTTTGTACGTTTAATGTGAATTTTACGTTTTTGGAACCATGTTATTGTCAAGGACCATTGGAATCTGTTACAAAACATACCCTCACACATGAGAGCTATCATTATCCTTGTACTGAACCTCTACAAATTCGATGTATGATTTAAAGTGTACCCTTTGTGTTTTGCTATATTTAGCTATAATATACTTCATGTTATACAATAAAATACGAAGAAAGTACAAACATCTTAGTAAGTTCCGTTTCCGAGATATTGTATAATATCGGAAATGCACACCTTTGACTCCACAGCGATCGCCTGTATATGGGTAACCCACATCTGTGACGTCGCAAGTTCAATGCAATCGAAACAGCACTATAGAAATATTCCAGTAAGTTTCCATCGTGTGCTTGTTATGCGAGCTTTTTAGCTTATCTTATTCGATCTGTGTGCTCAGACACCCGCATATGGTACATTATTTTTCTCTTTAAAAAGGAAACAAATCATAACTGAAATTGCAAAACAAGTCATTTCTTTATGTATATAACACATTAGATATAACCGACAGAAGTAAGTGACAACATAAGTAACTATATGGAGATTATTGTACTGGAGCATTTGTTCCAACAGTATATCTGCATTTGTAAAGAAATGGGCGGCAGGTGCGCTTTCATTAATTCAAATGATCTTGAAATAGTTTGTCGGTTTGTGTTGTATAAATAAAGTATTCTCCATAATTTCTGAAGATCAGTTGGATAATAAAAAATGTGATATTTACATTCAATAGATTCACGAAATATAGAAACACAGATAAATCTGGATATCCTTAAATCAAATACCTTCAGACTTTTCCAGTTCTTCACTCTGTCAAGTAACATATTTTGATGTTTATAATAGTTATTATTGTAGATATACAATGTATGCATATCTCCATGATAGTAATTATGTCTATATATATATATATATATATATGTGTGTGTGTGTGTGTGTGTGTGTATATATAATATGTCTTATAAGGCTAACAAGAAATATGTTTGAATTGATTACTTCTGGCAAATTCCATGTCTATTTACCGTGTACATAATGTTATCGTCAAAGTATCTAATTCCTCAAAACTATTGAAACATTAATTAGCAACCTTACATTGCAAAGCATAGCTGTTTTCGATCTCCCTGGCGGCTGCTAACAGTCGTTGAACTTGTGACGTCACAACCAAAAGGTCCCATTCAGCGCGAGTCACCCTCAGACTGATTAGCAGTAGAAGGGCAGATGGAAATTGTACAATTTACACGTCAATATTTCGGTAGTGGGCTGGCATATTTTGATGCTGTTTTCAACCTTTTTGATTTTGAACTATACGAAACAATACTATATTCATTTCTATTTCCACTTAGGGTACACTTTCAGTCGACCTAAATGAATGTCGTCCAATGTTTTATCATATCATACGATTTTATGTTGATTGTGATGTGATGTGTTGTAAGGATGTTATGTTTTGTGATTCAAGGTAAACCTTGTCAATTTATATAGAATGACACAATATCTTAATCGTTATCATAAGATGATGATGAGAACATGTGAATATTTTTGTCTACTCTTTCATAAATACAAAATTCATTCTAATGTAGGACACAAGTGTTTCTTTAATCTTATTTTTGATTTTGTCTTTGGTTGAGACAACAATTATCAAGAGATGTTGGCGATGATAATACTGTTAAAAGGCAAGCCATTAAATACAATGCATACATCTGTATGTATTAGAGTCTGTTAAGAGAAGGCGTTTCCTATAGGTAATCATTAAAGCAAAATATATTGTTTATATATCTTAAATTATGTTGAACCTTTACGAACTTTTATGTCACTTATTCATATATAACGTATTTCCTTTCTTGTATACATCAATGAACATTCCGTCTAACATTCCAAGCTTTTTTCCGATTGAAAAAAAAATCGAAATAACACAAAAAAACAATTTATGTCCACGTATCTGAATCAGAGAAGTAGGGTAAACCGAGAAAGTCGATGCGTTATAGGTGGGTTGAAAAGTGTAACAAGTCAAAAAACAGTAAATGTATTTTCGCCACTTAGCAAATGAATTCTAATTACAAAACAGGCATCCCTTTTCGAACTGTGTCTAGCATTATGCTGCACGGTATGAGGTAGTATATCGTAACGCAAAAGTGTGGAAAAGTTGGTTACAAAGTGATCTATGTCTTTTGGGAAAACATTGTTGAAAGTTGCTCTGGCGTAATTGTGTCGTTCCTGAGCAAGACAACGCGGACATTGATTAGGTAGGATAAACCACCTGACTTGCTTAAACGTACACACAGTGTATGGAAATAAACCATTGATTTAGCATTAATGAATCCAAATGTTACTTGTTATCTGGTGGGCGGAGGCTTAGAGAATCTGGTAAATCTATTGTGTCCATGAGACTATTTAAGCGGAAGTATAATAGGGTTTTAATTTTGGGGAAAATATACACTCTTTATCTGACCTTTACATTCCTCTTGCTCTGCATTACTACGATGTTTAGGAGAGGAAATGACATTTCGTAATCACCGATTATGTTACGTCACCTCGAATTCGATAAATCGATGCGATAGGAAAATGTTAATCAGTTCCTAATTATAGAATGCTAACATTCCTATTTTTTATTAGTAGCTGAAATTGTACAGAATGTGTTTTTTCAGTTTTTTCATTGATGTCGTGTTCTGGTACAGATGGTAAATATTGATGTGTCAAATTGATGTGCTAGTGGAGATGAAGATGTATTTTTTCTTAATGGAGGCCTTTTTATCTAGGTAGTTGTTGCTTAAAGATGCACGAGTTGTCAAGCATTCACTCTTTTTCGTATTTTTTTTTTCTATTTTAATTTTTGAAATTTTTTCAGCAGTACAAACACACATTATTGATATTCTATTCTTAAATATAAGAGACATCATCTTTTTTGTCATCCTTTCAAG